TACCCGTTTTCGATAAAATTATTGTCACCTTTCGGCGAATGGGGAAAATTAAAACTACATTCATAAAATAATATAAAAACATTTTATAACTGGTGTAATGATATGCTCACACAACAATATAACAATTCTTTAAAATGTAACAGATAAATAACGGCCAGACCACTGCACGTCTACACGTAGAAATCGGAAATCTCCAAACCCCAATAAATTATTGTCACGGACAGAAATAGTCTACTTATATTATACGATCACGGATTAAGAAATCGACAAGTACTTATGTTTGTAGCAGTAAAGCGTAAGGCGTCTGGCTTTCTTACAGGCCGGCATTGAAAAAGATATTGGGAAAAAGAGGTCTTTTTAGATACACAAAGCAACCTTTGATATAGCCGCCTATCACTCTCCGGTCGGCACAGCCGGGTCGTCCCTTCGCCAGTGCATGAGCACCACTAAACAGAGTAACAACCTCTCTATACCGAATCCTACGTAGCGACAACTGGACTCCTTATGATGAGCAATAATCAGTGAGTTTTATTATTTTGAGTCATTAATTTGTGTCACCTACAGCATAACCCAGAGACAGCTACGAGTCGGGTAAGACATTTAATATAAAATATATTATTATTGACTGCATTATATTACATTCTATGCACATACCTACACATTTATATTGTACAGTGTATTTGATCGAATTCTCGAATACACGACCTAGAGTGCCCTCCAAACACCTGGAGGAAGGTAATAACGTAATTGCCATACTTGCATCTGGTATTATTCTCCAGCACTTATAAGTGCAGAAAATCACAGATACTTTAGATGCATATTAGATTTTAATATTAATACAGGAAGGAGCCTTATTTTTGAGTTATTACACTAGTATTTTTGTCGGTAAACTGGGTTTTCAACGAATTGGGATTCGGCAAATTGGGTATGAATCGTAAAGTAATATACTTAATTAAAGTCACAAGTCAACTCAAATTTGAATATATTTGTTTAATTTACTTCTTAAAACAAATTTTTACCTTTTTTGTGTAGTGTAAAAAAGGAATGAATAATAATTAATAATTAATAATAATATTTATTTTAAAATTAAATTTTTTTCGCTCATCTAAGTACATTTTTTAAGTTCATTTTTTAAAGGTTTTATTTTGCATGTCATTTTAGCATTTTTGTAGCACATTTTTGTGTATTATTATTTTTTTTTTTTTTTTCATCACAGTTTAGCTCCTGTGCGATTTTTATATTTTGTTTTTCAAAATGATTTACATTTTCTGGAACAACTGAACAAATATTATTTATTAAAACATAGGTATTAAAATATATTTTGTATTTATGTTTTACATGAGTTTGATGTTTATACTTACTAGATATATAGTAATTAGTAATATGGTATTATATACATGTAGACTATTCTAAATACACTGCTTAATACATACAGTAAAATCTCTATAATAATTAAAACATTTAAAACTGTTAACTGATGTTCAATATTTATCTACCTTAAATTATTTATTATGTAAATATCACTTGGCCAATGGAACTTTTTTTTTCCAACAGGTAATAATTGTACATTAAACATGTTAAACACATTTAAGATGTAAGATTATATACTGTGTATATCAATAGGTTAAACATCATTATAATTTGAAAAATTTAAAGTATATGGGTATTTAAAAATTAAATTTAAAATGCGAAATGTTTCTGGTGTTACTGTGTTTGATTTAATTCATAGGTGTATTATGTAAATTGTACACTTTTTTATATGTGTTTTGCTTTGGCCTAATTGTTCTATATTATTAATGTGTATAGCCATTGAAGAAAAGAGTTATGAATTAATAGAAAATATCAGGATTAACAGAATCAATCTACATAAAATGTTTCAAAACATGAAAACTGCAGTGGTATTTTGAATGTCTCATCAGATCCTGATAAAGGTGCCTAATTTAAAATTTATAAAACTAAGTACACAATTTTTTTATTTTATATAACCCAGTGCTTTGTCAAAATGTATAATGATCCAATGTAATTTATTGAATTCAGTTATTGATGAAAGCAATACAATAAATAACAAATGTATTTACTGTGTGTCTAGGAAAATATTTTAAAATTGATGCAATGTGTATCCAAAGAACTGCAGTCTGTTCAGGTCTTGGAGCAAATAAATACGGTCATTTTAGATATCAAACTGATGCGTGACAAATATGATACAATTTTTGACAAAGTAAAAACAAATGTGTGATTCATGGAGTATACCATTTACATTCCATCAAAGCCATGAACAGTAGAGCAAATTATTTCCTGGTGAAATGAATGGTGATAGAAGACTAACAATTACCGAAGAGAATTTTAAAGTAATTGATTTTCTTCTATCCTGTTATCGATACTATATTATCACAGCTTAAATTTAGATTTGCTAGATTGAATACTGTATGTCGGGGGTGGGCAACTTGGCGGCCAGTGAGCTGCATCCGGCCCATGAGAATTTTTTATCCGGCCAGAGCTACATTTTCAAATTACATTATAAACAAAATAAATGCTATTTAAAATGTATATTTTGAATCGAATTTTTTTTTTGCTCCCTATGCTCTGGCCCGCTAGATTTTAATTTTCTAAAAATTTGCCCTCTATAACTTTGAGTTGCCCATCCCTGCTGTATGTGATTATTTCAGATACCGTTTAATATGATTTCAATGACAAAAGAACTTTTAGTTAAGTAAACTTATGGTTTTATAGAAAGGTATAGATGATATTGCAGTGACTTCATGCGTAAAATAGTGAGTCTTTGAGATTTTTTTCAAAGGATGGTATTAGAGACCTTAAAAAAATGACTATAGAAGATCTATGATTATTTATTCTAAATGAAAATCTATCAAGTATTTTTCCTGATGTTTTAGCTACAATAGTGTTTATAACTATGCCAATCACTTCTGTTTCTGTTAAAAGATCGTTTTCAAAACTAAAATTAATAAAAAATTATCTACACAGTTCCGTGTCTCTAGCTTTACAAGATGGCTATATTAAACATTGAAAGGCTCCAAACTGCTGAAATAGATATGGACAAAATGATAAATATTTGTGCAAATACAAGCAATGAATTTTTTACGTTAAGACTAAATATTTTGTATGATTTTGCAATATTTTATTTTATAAAAATGAATAGGTAGTTAAGAGTTATGTTTCTAATATTTAATTTTGTTTGAAAAAAATTGTATATTTTTAATAATTATATTAAAACCTTATTATAAAAGACATTTTTTAAAATTAAAGTTGTAATACTATATTAAAGTGTAATAAAATATTTATTAATAATGAGTCCATTGAGTATTTAAGTGAACTTCATAAATATGTTTTCTATATTGTATAATATACAACAGTTAAAGGTATATTGTTTTACATACATACATACATACATACACAAACTGATGTAAAACGTGTTTTAAGACCTAAAAATGTTGGTAATTTTATACAGTGGTGGCCTGGCCATACTGACTAGTTAAATAAAAAAGGGGCCCCCTCTATTTAAGTACAATTAGATAGACATGGAGCCTTCAACATATTTTTTCAATAAATTTGAAGGGGGCCCAATCGAAGGTCAGACAGCCTAAAAGGTTGTGAGACTTGCAACAAAAATTAATCTGGAAAGAGACCCAAAATATTTATCGCACCCTTATCCTGTAGTTGAAGCACTGTATCGAACCAACATTGTCTAAGATACCTATGGTAGAAAACCCACCTTATAACTAGTAAACATGTTACCTATACAAGTAATAAAAGTATAGACATCAAAACCATAGTACTAACTACAAATCTAACTGTCTGAGAAACTACCCAACAGATAATACTTAAGAGTACTTATTACTTTTTAGTACTTACTTAGAAGTAAATAGTAGGTACTTGTGTGAAGTTATCACTTATCAGTATTCAGTATAATCACTACAATGATTTTATCCGATTTTACGTGACAAAACGGGTCATTGCACGTAAATCAATATAAAAGAATTAACAATAATGGTTTTGGTATCACGGGTTGTTTATTATTTATCGACGGTATGAAATTGACAGGTTACTATGGAGGTCGGTCTTGTTGTGGTGTGTAAAGGTACGAGTGGCACTGGATCAGGCAAATGAGGGCACAAACGTACGGTATACACGTCCTCACAGCGACTCACTGTCGGTAACGACCGTTTGGAGGTAGTGAGTTACTTACAACAAGCGGTGTGCGGCGTCGTGAGAACGGAACCGGTACGGCTGTAAGGAGGCAGGAGTCAGAACATGGAAAGACGAGTACCAAAGGTGCGAGCTCAGTGAGTGCAGTCCGTTTCGTCACTTCGTCAGTCGGAAAGACAAGGTGCTCTTGTGCTCGGGCCTGGTATGTCTGGATGTCAGCTTGGACGCCGTGCCATGTCGGGAGGTCGACCGATGATAGAAAAAGTATTGTGGCGGCATCCAACAACAATTTAAAAGATAAAGTACCCACATAGAAGTCCTTAATCCGTATACAAAAAGTATATGAGAATAGCAACTGTTATCTAAGCTAATTATATATTACCGTAAAAATAATATTATATTTTTCCGATAAATAATAATATTTTCTAAGCATTAAACTGAAGGGCCCGTGACGTTAAAACACTTTTGTCTTGGCGGTGGCAGTATATTGTGTTCGGACTTATTTTACCGCCACCGCTACCGCTGCAGTGTGTGGAGTCATTAATCCCCGAATGCCGGAAAAAAACTGTGCCACGAAATTATCCAAGATATCAACTAATCCTCCCCAATAATAACCCAAAATATTGTATCTCAATTTGCATTATTCATTTAAATGATAATTCCTGTCCTCCTATCACTCTTCATACATCATACATTCATCAAAGTTAATAGGTACTTATTAAATTCTATCCTGAGTAGTACGGCTCCATTATAATCCTGATTTTTATTTTTTACGCGGGCCCTGATAACGTGTGATAAGGCGCCGTATCACTACATTCTTATTGATTAAATATGGTATAATATTATCAATGCTTAATATTGACAATATTGTGTGAATGTGTGATCAAAATTCAAAATTCAAAACTTCAAAACGTCTGATCAAATTCTAAATACGATATAATTGTATTTGGTCTAACATAGTAACTCAAGAGACTGACAACATTACTGGAATCTAACACAGAAATCAAAATAATAATAATTTTTACTTCTCGTCGATCTTTATCAATTTTTGTTGTAGGTACGAGATAAAATACTTAAAGATCTTCTTTATAGATCTTGAGTACAAGCCACAAGAAGCTGACTGTTCTCGTGCACCACAAAGTAACAAATTAATATAACAGAATACAGACATATCCGGCTCTAGAAATCGGTCTACTATCACTGTAAGACAAAATATTATTTAGAGCCTTCTCGATCACAAACACTATTAAATTTGTGTAGTATCGACGCGTTTTGGATAAAACGAAAAACACTCGGTAATTGTCTTCAACAGCAGTACTTCGTTTATTGAATTTGTTTTTCAAACACTATGCATGACTTATTCTATTGATTTCTTTACTTTCCCTAACTTATTATCAGTGGCTGATACTGCTATATGGGTAATGGTTTATTTGTTTATTCGTTTTTATATGATTTAATAATTAATACGTTCGATTGAATTCAAGTACCTCTACAGCACTATAACTGTTATAACAAAGGACAACACTTGGCATCAAGCTGAAATTGTAGCATCTATTGTTGGTACCACAATTTGTTGGACTTATTAATTTGTTTGTTTGCCTTTCAAATACCTTGATCAGTCTCCAAAAGAATTATTTCTCATCATGTCGGTAGACGAAGTAGAATCAGAAATCCATTTCATGAAAACTTATGGTATAATGAAATGGGATGAACTAATGTAAGCAAGCGTACATTTCTTAAGACAGTGTTATTTTTTATTTAGTACATTCAATATTTAATTTGTTTTACTTTATTTTTTACATAAAATAAGAATGTTAAATGATGATCGCAAATCGCTTAACCAGAAAATCGCTCTTGGGGTGGCTACCAAAGAGGAATTGTTAAAACAAATAAAAGTGGAACTAAATATGTTGGATACGTGTCAACTTAAAATTGATGTAAGTTTGATAACTGATATTATTTCAATTACCTATTATTATTATTAGTATTATAATAATAATTATTATTTTTCATAGCAAGAAATGAAAGAAAACGACACAGAGTATATTAACACTGAAATACTTACCATTTTATCAAACCGTATCAATGATATGTACACCAGTATGTTTCTATTGTTTCCTGTCGAAAAGAATTCATTATCAGAATATATTGAGTTCTGCTCAAATAATGTAAGTAAACAAATTACAACCTGGATGATTTTAATATAAGAAATAGAATGAGTTTTTCAATCTTTTTTGTTGGCTTCAAAGATCTATTAAAAATCTCTGAAGTCTACTTTGTATAATAATTGTATGTTTATGTTAAATGATGAGTGACAATTGATGACTAATTAAAAAGTATGTCTACACGCATATTAATTATTGTGACTACCAAAAATGCATTATATACAACCAGCTGAACAACACATAGAGATAGATACGACTACAATGCAACTGTGTATTTGTGATTGTAGACTAGTATACGCCTTGGGGTCTTATTTTTTTTTATATGAACAATTACTTAATGAATTATTATCATTCAAATATAAGATACTTCACTATAAGAATTAATGTGGTAAACCTATATAAAATAAATATAGTAAATCATGTATGAGATCTTCAATAATTATCAATCACCAAATAATTAAGTCATAAACACATAAGACAATATACAATTCTTTTAATATAATTTCTGTTTCAATAATTTTACCATTTAATTTTAAAAGTATTTTAATAAAAATAATAAATACAATTTAAATGTTGATGATACATTTCACATTGTATGTTTTATTTAAAAAGGTGTTGAATAAATATTTTTAAATAACCATTGAAATATGTTTAACAAATATCAAATTTGTTTGTGTAGAATTTGATTAAAAATTATGAAATATTTATTTAACCATTAAAAATTCTTAATTTCAGACATTATTTATTACTAAATGTAGCAACATGCTGAATACACTCATGTTGAGATTCCATAGTGATCCTGAAGTATATATAACTGCAGCAACATATGAATTTGACGACCGAAATAATGTTGAATCAGCTAGACAATATTTTGCAGAAGGATTAAAATATCACAAAAATTGTAAGCGCTTATATGTAGAAGAGTTCTGGGTAGAAGTACAGCATTTAGAAAAGACTGCAGGTGCCTCACTTCCAATTGCCATGGGAAAATATAGAAACCTCATAAAACATTTTGAAGGTGATATCGAGTTTCATTTTATATTACTGGACAGAGCAATAAAATTAAGTGCAGTTAGAGAACTGCAATGTAATATTGTCAGGTATTGATTATATTTAAAAAAAAATTACTGTCAAATAATTTGAAATGTATTTTTTTTTTATGTAGAGATATGGTTAGAAAGTATAGGCATAGTGAACTAATGTGGCAAAAATTAGCTAAGATTCATTTTGATGGTTTTATCTATCATCAAGAAACTGAGCAATTACATTATGATAAAAATTATATAAGTGGTATTAGGTAAGTGTCTAAAATTAAAAAAATTAAATTGTCTTACTGACATTTGTTTTATTGTTTTATAGAAACTGCATTAAAACATATGAAGACGGATTGAGAGAAAATTTACCATTAAAAAATAAACAAAAGTTATGGAACTTTTATATTGATCACGTTATAGAAATTCGGAGATCTTATCGCATGAAAAAAGAAACAATAAGAAATTTTATGAATGAAACAATGGAGAGAGCCTTTCAAGAAGCACACAATAACAGAGCATTACATAAATCGGAACATTACATTTATTGGGTATATTTTCATAAAGTATTGCTATTTAATATAAAGAACAGTTTGATTGTTTATTTTTATTTAGGCTAAAAACACAAATAAAAGCTGTCATAAAGTTCTGAGAAAAGCAGTTGAAGTGGTGGAAGATAATGTAGAACTTTGGATTAATTTAATAACATATTATTTACACTTTGACTGTCTTGAAATGGGTATTGAAGCTTTTCAAGCCGGTGTTCGAGCTTTGACAAGCAAATCGATGCCTTTATGGCAAATTCTAATTTTATATTTGGGGAACACTCATCCAAAATTGGTAAAATAAGTATTGATATTTTTATATTGTCTCAAAGATAAACTTATGTAAAATTAATTAATTGAAACTTTGGTGTTAAAAGTTATCCCTTTAACACTTGATTCATTTTATGCTTGTAGATTTTGTTGACCAATATTGATATGATCTTAAAATACAATTTGTATATTACAGATTATCTATACTTTAACCCTAAATTAACTTGTGTCTACATCATAATATATTATTTATTGTGATTTATTCTTTCATTCCTAATGTCTACTGTATTCTTATTTAATATACATTGACTATAATAATGTCACAAGTAATTTGCATTTTGATTTTAATCGTTTCTTTATTTTATTAATTTAATATAAACTTAATAATATTTAACTTTTTTCTTTAAATAACAAACCTTCAGTCAACGGTCAACTTCTTAATAATCAATGCTTTGTTGTTTTGACACCCTAAATAAACTATATTTTGTCTAAAAATGAAATATTTAAATGTTATACAGTGAAATCTCAACTAATCAACACATTTCAGTAGCAGTTACCTTGGTATTTTTGGATGTCCCAGGTGCTATATTTTTTTCCCCGTTTATTTTTTACTCTTTTTCTATTCAAATATAGCAGATATTACCCAATAGCAGCATCTTAAATCATTAATCAGCTCTAAAGAGATAAGGTATTGGCCCACCGAGTCTTAGGATTTCTAGCCTTTTATAACTGTACTGTTTAAAAGTTTCATTCAATTACATTTTCTACCAATTCTTGTAGTAATTTATTATTACAGTGGAATCTCGATAAGTCGAAATTCAACGGAAATACAATTTTTTCGACTCATTTAGGTTTTCAACTCACTAAGGTTTTCTAGTTATCATGGTTTTAGAAACAAAATTCGACTGACAGAGTTTTTATAATGTATGTAGATAGGTATTATAGTTTTTAATTATTATATACATTGTAAAAATATGTGATTATAATATACGTTATTTGAATTTTAAAAAATATCACGAAAAAAATATAATAAAACATGTGTTGCAACTTTATAATAAAAAATTTGCTATCTTACTTTGACTTAAAATTTGAGATTTTTTATCATCAATTTATCAATTATTAGAACGAACAAGCCGATTAGATAAATGTTTATAAAACTATCCATCATTATCCGTCTATATTCAGAGCACAGAATGTTCGAGTTATCTATAGTTTTTTTCAACTTACCGAGGTTCCACTGTACATTATAAAAAAATGAAAAATTAAGACTCAAACATTCATTACCGGCCCACCAAAATTTTCTCTGTTGCTTATTGGCCCAATTCGAGCCTGTCTATAATACTTAATATAATTACCTATAAGTAAGTGTTTAATAATTATATATAATACTTAAAATATTATTCTCTACTTGTAAATATTTTATGGTTTTTCTATAACAATATTTATTTCTATTTAGCTCCAACAATTATATCATGAAGGCTCACATTTTCCATTCCCAGAAATTAATGTTGTTATCAGGCCTAAATATTTGGAATGGAATGTAGTTCACAATGGATTACTTTCAACTCGTGAATTATTTATTGAACTTAGAGACATAAAACCAGAATGTAAACGGTTGTACACAACCATGATTTCATTTGAACTCACTCAGAACTCAGGTATTACTAAATTGAAAACAATCAGAAAATTGTATAATGATGTATGCAATGCTTTTGGCCAAACAGACATTGGTGAGTATCAATTAATGCTATAATATTATTGATGTTTATTTAAAATTGGTGTTACAGGAGTATGGTCGGACTGCATTCGTTTTGAGTACAAATATGGTTCTCCTAAATTAGTGAAGGAAATTTATAAGGCATCATTATTGTGTTTAGAACCAAAGTTAAGAAATGTTATGACAAAGGAGTTTGAAAAACTTAAAGATGAATTTCTGTATGTATAACTCAACTAATTAACTTAAATTGCATACCAAATTTTCTGATGTATTTTGTTTGTTTAATTTTTAAGGGAGAATGATTCTAAAGATGGAGGAATTATTGTTATTGATGATGACGAATAATTTTATAGTTAAGAAAAAATTATCTAGATATATGTGTGTATTTATTTTATTGTTATTCATGTTTTAAGTAGGTAGTAATTAGTGTACTTAATTTTTTTTGTGTGTCTGTGATATTATGCTGTATTAAGTCTATTTATTATTTATTGTTATTTTTATTTAATTTTAAGTGGCATAAGCAAGAAATAACGTGATATTCATTTCTATGATATTGTACAGTGTGTAGTTTTGGGAAAAGCCCAATGCCCATGTTCATAATATCATAGAATACATTTTTTTCAATACTATTTTTCAATTAGTTATTACTTCAGTTTCAAACATTTCAGACTTTCAAACACAGTATTTACTATTTACTATATCCTTATTGAATTTTTACATTAGAAACAAAATATTTTAATGATATATCATATTTTGCAACTGGTTGACTCAATTAACAATTATGGAGATTTAGATTTAATATTCTATATATTAGTGTATATTTATTTTTTGGTTTTAACTACAACTTTTCTCCAATTTACTCAAAATAGTATTTATAACTTAGTTAAAATACATTATACAATGGCCAAGGTCCACTCATTAATCACTAAACATAATATTAAATAGTGATAATGAAACAATATTACCACGTATCTCAAATTTTATTATAGGACACACAACTGATTATTCCAAAACATAGTAAGGTATGTTATGAAATAATTATAATGAGACTAAAATCATATTATTATTATTCTGGATTATGAGGTGTTAGATATTTAGGGAATATTTCAAATTTCTGATATATTATTAAAAGAAAAAATTATACAACCTCTAAATGTTAATAACTAGAGCTAGGATTTCGGTGACTTTTGCATTTTTTTTGTTTAAATGCTATACAGTTATAACCAAAAACTAAATTTGTCTTGTGATACAACAATTTAGAATGTGTAATTTTTATTTTGCATTTTTAAGCTCATTTTTACAAATATTACGTTTGATTTGTGTATTTAAACTAATTTTTGTTTATTTTAAGTTTTTTTTAATATGTGTTGCATAAGTAATCTCAATTAGTACCTATAGTACTCTTATAAAAAATAGTACCTACCTATGAACTTATATCGACCACATACTATAATAATATTATCGCTGTTACATCCGTTTTTCGATAAAATAATGGTCACCTATCAGCAAATTGGGGAAGTTGAAACTATATTAATGAAATAATATTAAAAATATTTTAAAACTAGTATATTTGTTGGCAAATTAGGATTTGGCAAAGTGTCTATGAATCGAAAAAGTTATATAATTAATTAAACTCACAAGTCAACTCAAATTTGAATGTATTTGTTTAATTTACTTCTTAAAAAAAATTGTTACCTTTATTTTAAAATTAAATTTTTTTGCTCATCTAAGTACATTTTTTTGTCATGTTTGATAGTTTTGAGTAGGTGATTTTTGCATTTTTTTTTTAGTATATTTTTGTGTATTTTAAGTCATTAAAATCCTAGCTCCATTAATAACTATAAAAATAATCTCTTTGATGTTATAAATCATTTTATAATAAAATCGAGATTTATGGTTGATATTCAATTATTATTTTATTTTATAATTTTTTTGATATTGTTAAAAATGAAAAGTCTGACAAAGTAAATGAAGTTATATTAAAAATTAAATCTGTAAATGTAATCATTCAATGTTGTATATTTAATTATAATATAAAATGTACCTTAACTTAATTAAAATTCTAAAATGCCATTGCATTAGTCATAAGTATACCATTGTCCATAACTCATGGTGATAAAAAATGAAACAATTTGTGCATGATTTTTTTTTTATTGATGACATAATAAATAATATTAACTAATTATTAATTATCAGAATATTTTTTCTCATTTATTAATTTAAATAAGTTATTAAAGAATAATAATTATTGCATATTTCACACTTTTATCAGACATTTTAATTAGTACAATATTTAATTTTAGTTAAAATAGATGCATTAGAAAACAATGTTTTTTCAAAACAGATTTTATGATATAGCTCAACCCTCTAGTTTCCTATACTTAAATGTCCCTATACAAGATGCATTTTCCAAAACTCATACAGTTTAATATATGTAAATAATGTAACAGATACTAATACATTTTATATTTTATTGCCTTTCTTTGACTTTAAGTGTGATTCATTTTTCCTTTGAAACGAGTGCATTATTAACAGTAAATTTACACCACATAGAAGATAACTTATTTGAGTAAATAGAAAACAAAACAAAATATGAATTTATACAAATAATTTGGATTGCCTTAAGTAATCAAGACTTGTATACATTTTTCTATCTGTACCTATAGTAAATATTTGATAAGGCTCCTGAGAACATCGCCTTCGTAAAGTATGTTATTTTACGTTGTCCCGCGCTAAACTATTTTCATGGATACATTTTTCAACACCCGTAAGCGTCCTTTGAGAAAAACCGAGATTTGCCGAATGTTGGAGCCATCTAGTAAGAAATCACTGAACTATAAAAATGCCTGAAATATAGATTAGTGGCATCACCTTATCTTCTTTAGTTTTGTATATTCGTACCGCCATGCGAGTCTATTCGATGCCAATGAATTATTGTACCTTAGACTGTTGAGAAAATAAATATGGCCGACATTGTTGTCATATCTCTTAACTTTATCAAGAAACACGCCTTTAGTTGTCTCTCTGACGAATGAACGACGATGATACTCGTTTTCTATGTGAAGAGGAAAGTAGTGGGAATGACGCCGGCCTGCAAGCAACAGTGAATACTCAAACGACGACAACAACAACGGACTACTCAGACGGTCAACAAGTGAAGTGTATTTCGCAGCGCGTTTGTGAGAATCGTCGGTTTTCCTAGTACTACATTTTATTTTGTTTCTGCGTTCACAATCATGTCTGCACAAGCGTCTGGGAAGCTCATCGTAGTGTCAAACAGGCTTCCATTCATTCTCAAAAAAAACGAACAGACTCTAAAATGGGAAAGAAAAGCCAGGTATGATTAATGATTGGGAATTGGTTTTTTAGTATGGTAAATAATGTAGCAGATACGAATAGTACCACGTGTTTTATCGTGTTTGTTGTTACTCTTAGTTAACACTTGTTGATCAACAAGCGAACTACAAACATAAGTAGGTACTTAGTGTGTGTTTACAGTCCATTAGACGTACAGTAATTTTATTAGTTACTCTGATAAGGATGTATATGACAGTGGGTCTGTTTGTGTTAATACATAACAATATTTACCATTTTATTACCCACAAACCAATTTTTTGGCAACGCTCTGTGCCAGGTTTTTTTTAAATTTTATTTTATTGACGATGCTTAAGATGACGCTATGAGTGAAACATTATACAACGTTTCAGAGATGGCGTCGTGCTCTGTATCACGGCGGCGGCAAGCGATTGTAACCACGGTTGTAGATGGAATCTATTTACAACCGTGATTGTAAATTTTGCAACCTTTTATATGACGTATTTTAAAAAAAAAATTTTAAGTAAAATATAAAAATTCCAAGGTCACGCCCAGAATTTTATAGTGGTGGGTGGCTAAGAGATTTTCAACAAGACCGAAAATACTGTGTGGTTTCGATATGAGAGACGTTTTTCGATAAAATACACAGTTTTTATAATTAGTTCAAGTTTTTCCTGGTTTTCTATGGTTTATTTGTGTAAAACTTATACAATATTTTATCGAACCTACTCTTCTCGCCGCCACCCGATTCGCCACCACCGTTTTGCCGACGGACATCTCGCATTCTCGCCGCCGGACAATTCGCCGCCACCGTTTCGGTAGTGATAAGCTTTTGACTGATAAGAGTGGTTATTCTATGGTATAGCAGCGGTTATACTGTGACCAACTTTAGGTGGTGTTGCTTAGCAAGTCGAGGGATATTTTCGATTTGCGGAGCGGAGCGACGACGCCGAGGAGCTTAGCGACGAATGCCGCTAACAAAGCATCACTGTAAATTATTTCTTATTGGTGGTGTCACTGCTGGATCTCTGGTATATTCTGGTACGAGTTGTGGTGGTATTTTTAACTCGAGAAGTGTCGGCGAGACAGTGGCGGCGAGATGTCCGTCGGCGAAATATTGGCAGCGAGATGTCCGTCGGCGAGATGGCTTGGCGGTGAAACGGTGGCGGCGGGATGTCCTAGACCCATATTTTATCGATTGGTATCAATTTTCTGTCCATATTATCAATACAATTATCGGTTTTTAAAGTTGTTATGGTAATTTAAATCATTTTAGAGTATTTTTTCAATTTCTAAATCCTATCTCTGTTAATTGACTAAGTGTCTGAGTAGAATAATTTTTGGTGTATGAAGGAGAAAATTAAACACAATATGTCTTTTAGTAGACACTATTTTCTAATTTGGAAAATCCACCATTTATACTTTGTTAGTCAAACTAGAGTAAACTTTCTATTTTCTGTATCCATTTTTTAGAACCATAAAAATATAATTATTATAAGGAAACCACATATTTTGTAAAATGTTTATTTTTGATGACCAATTAATTTTTTATTTACATATAAAGTCGTGTCATATTTTGGTATTATATTGGTACCATCATTTAGTTGGAAATTATAATAATAATATCATAAAAAAATATTTAATTCCATTATTTTCTGTCAAAAACTGTCTCTTACAATATGGTTACGATGAGTGCCAACCGTGAACTTATACACAACAGTTAATTTTACTATTTTTAGTCATCATCCATCTTATAAACGATACTGGATGTGTGATGGAATAATATAGATTAAATAAAATAAATGTATCATCAAAAAAAAAAAAAAATACAACTGGATATTAAGTATACATAAATACATATTGTTACAATTGATTTTATTTGGATATAGATGGTATCAATTCTACACCTAATATTAATAAAATAAATGATTTTTAACATTTAAATATTTCATACTAAAAATAATAATCATTGCAATAATACTGCAATCAATGTTATTATAAAATACAATAAAGCTTTTTATAATTTTTAAAACATTAAAAAATATTAGGAATTATTGTCTAATATTTTAATATATTTTAATTTTAGTGCTGGTGGATTAGTCACTGCTGTAGCACCAGTTGTAGTTCAAGGAAATGGGCTATGGATTGGATGGGCTGGTGTTCACTTAGAGGAAGGTGAAAAAATACCAGAATCGGATCCTAATGATACAACACCTACTGCTGGATTATGTTCCGATAAAGTTAGTTATTTAATTTAACAAGAATTTAACTACAATGTAATTTATTTGAACAACTTTTAATTAATTTAAGGTTATACCTGTTGATTTTGACCCTCAAACATTTGATAGTTATTATAATGGTTGCTGTAATGGAACATTTTGGCCTCTATTTCATTCAATGCCTGACCGAGCACAATTTTCTGCAGATTTTTGGAAAGTAATAATAGTTGAAAAAAATACTGTAATGAAACTAATTAAATTTTTTTTTTTGTATTTCTAAGTCATACTGTGCAGTCAATAAAGAATTTGCATCAAAAACAGTAGGTGCTTTGGAAAATTTATCAAGGGAAGAAACAGATTCTGGAACACCTCTTGTTTGGTTGCATGATTATCATCTTATGTTAGCGGCGAACAGTATACGAAATGTAAAGTTAAATATTGCATGCATAGATAAATTAATAGCATTAAGTCAAAAGGATGTAACATTTTATTTTAAAAATCAGAGTATAGCTGGAAGTAATTTGCCTACTAATATATTATTTCTACACGAATTTCCAACTGATTTCATCAGGTGAAAAAATAGAAATGATGTCAAAATTTGAAATCTTATTTTTGTAACGGAAAATTTAAGAAATATTAGGTGTTTAAGTACATAGATAGATTGGAAAAAAAAATTATTTATCATAAATAAATACATTTTTTCCCCAAAGTTGCATACTTCCCTCGACAACACAGTTCAATAAAAATATTGTTAAACATCTAATTATATTTTATAAAATTATGTCAAGTATTATTTTAGGTGGCAGAAGAAAAAAATTTGAAATTTAAATTAGGATTTTTCCTTCACATACCATTTCCTCCGTGGGATATTTTTAGGCTGTTTCCGTGGGCTGATGAAATTCTTCAAGGAATGTTAGGTATGTGCATACTTATCTCATAGTAATTTAATGATTATAGTAACACACTCATGTTTACTTTATTTTCAAGGTTGTGATATGATTGGTTTTCATATTGAAGACTATTGTTTAAATTTTGTCGATTGCTGTCAGCGGAGATTAGGCTGTCGGGTAGATCGAAAAAATTTACTTGTTGAACATGGTGGTCGCACAGTACGTATTCGTCCATTGCCAATTGGTATACCATTTGATCGATTTGTTGAAATGGCAAAGCAAGCACCCACAGTGATAAATACATCATTACAATTGGTACTTGGTGTTGATCGATTGGATTACACTAAAGGATTAGTACATAGATTAAAAGCTTTTGAACTCCTTTTGGAACGATATCCACAACATAAAGGTAAAGTGGCACTTATGCAAATTGCTGTTCCATCACGTACAGATGTTAAGGAATACCAGGACCTTAAAGAGGAAATGGACCAACTTGTTGGACGAATAAATGGTCGTTTTTCAACTCCTAATTGGTCTCCAATTAAATATATATATGGTTGTGTTAGTCAAAATGATTTGGCAGCTTTCTATCGTGACTCAGCTGTAGCAATGGTTACACCGCTTCGTGATGGCATGAATTTAGTAGCAAAAGAGTTTGTTGCTTGTCAAATTAAAGAATCACCTGGTGTTCTTATTGTATCACCATTTGCCGGTGCTGGGGAGATGATGAATGAAGCTTTAATTTGTAATCCTTACGAATTAGTTGAAGCAGCTGATATTTTGCACAGAGCATTGACTATGCCCGAAGATGAAAGAATTTTAAGAATGAGGTGTTTGAGACGTAGAGAAAAAGTACATGATGTTGATTTTTGGATGAGATCTTTCCTTAAAGCAATGGGAACTCTAATATTTGAAGACGGAGATGATGTTTTTCCAACTACCATGCAACCAGTCACTTTGCAGGACTTTGATGATTATTTGTCTAAGTAAAAATATTTCTTTTACAATTATATTATATTATGTATAAATATATTTTATTTATTCATTCTTACTATAGATATATTGGTAACACAAACAAACTTGCATTGCTATTAGACTATGATGGTACATTAGCTCCATTGGCTCCTCACCCAGACCTCGCTATATTACCTTTAGAAACTAAAGGTGTTCTAGAAAGATTGGCTAATATGTCTGATGTATACATAGCCATTATTTCTGGCAGGAATGTTCACAATGTTAAAGACATGGTTTGTTATTAAATGTTTAACTATCATAATATGTAAAGCAAAATAAATGGTTGAAATTATTTTATTGAACATAAGGTTGGTATTGAGGGTTTGACTTATGCTGGTAATCATGGACTGGAAATTCTTCATCCAGATGGAAGTAGATTTGTGCATCCAATGCCTAAAGAATATGTAGATAAAGTTGGTGATCTGTTGAAAGTGCTTCAAGAACAAGTAAATATACAGTGATTATCAACGAGTTATTGACTTATTTGTTTTTATTTTTAGGTTTGTAAAAACGGTGCATGGGTAGAAAATAAAGGTACATTATTGACATTCCATTACCGTGAAGTACCTGTTGACGCTCGGCCTGAGCTTGCATCTATTGCACAGCGTCTCATAGAAAACGCTGGTTTTAAAGCTGGTCAGGCTCATTGTGCCATTGAAGCCAAACCTCCAGTACATTGGAATAAGGGACGCGCATCTTTGTATATTTTACGTACAGCTTTTGGTTTGGATTGGAGTGAACGCACACGAATTATTTATGCAGGAGATGATGTAACTGATGAAGATGCAATGCAGGTAGTTTCTATTTATCTTAATATTCAAAGAATATTCACCTAATTGTATTTATATTATTTAAAAGGCATTAAAAGGTATGGCAGCAACTTTCAGAGTAGCCCAGTCTCAAATAGTTAAGACTTCTGCTGAACGTCGTTTGCCAAGTACAGATTCTGTGTTAACTATGTTGAAATGGGTTGAAAGACATTTCGGCAAAAGGCTACCTCGTGAAGATAGTGTTGGTAATTTAAGCAATAGTCTACAGATGTCATTAAGAGAAATTGAAATGGAGCTGAGTATGCCGGAAGAAGAGTCTTCACAATAATACTTATTACTCACAAATATTAATCTCTATAAACCTTCGAAGTTTTTTTATACTCAAATTCAGCTACACTAGTATACTAGTATACAATTATTTGATATTGAATCTTAATATTATGTTTATGCATCTGAAATATGTTGTATTTTTGTACAAGAATACATAATATTCATGTTCAACGTTTATAGAATGTTTGTACATTTTAAAATGAACAGCAAATTAAATATTCTATAAGTCGGTTAAAAGATAATAAAAACAAGTAATAAATGTATGAACTTAAATTAAGATACCGTATAACAGGGCTTTTACATTCCTTAAATATTGTAAGTTTTCAGTTTTTTTATCTTCTATATTTTAGTTATCAAACAATTAGCAGTACAATAAAATTAGTACTAATATTGATTAATTTAAATATATATACAATAGATAATGATAAAACAATAAATATATCATTCATGTTATTTTTCATTCCTAATAAATTGTAATATTTTATAAGTTGAACAAATTGTAGTGCTTAATGAAAATCAAAAAACCAATATACAGTTGTAAGGTGAATTGTTAACAACACTAACCAAATAATAAATATTTAATTAAATCAAAAACTAACTAAAAATAATTTTCAACTTAATACAATCAAAAAAATTGTGCCATTATCTAAAACTATATTTGTAATTGGATAATTTTTGTTAAATTTAAGAGTTCAATTAATACATTATTTATAAATCATAATTTATTTATATATTTTTTTAGCCCTCAGTGGTATTATGTTGTAAGACACATGTACAATTATAATAATACTAGCTGTCCCGACACAGCGTTTCCTGCGTATTAGTTGGTTTTTGACATTTTTGTAGGCCGTGTATTATTACTATTATGTATGAGAAAATATTTTTTTATTCATTTGTAGTTTATTAGTGGTTTTGGAGATCATAGCATATAGTAAACTATTATTGAGTGTGTCAAATTAAGATTCATATAATGTCACTAATAATAACCTACGTGATTAAGTACATAATATTTTTAATGACACTCAATGATGAGGTCAGACCAATGTTCAATCAAGAAATTGAGAGAGATATAGAGAGCTTTAAGTGAGATATGCCAGATGTTAAAGAACAAAACTAGGTTGTGACTTACAATATGTGTTTAGAAATATTTTAGAGAAGTGTATATTTAAATTAAATTAAAGTGGGTAAACCGTCTATATATAGTATATGGGTGTCTAGAGAAGTCTCTGTAACAGAAGTGTTAAATTTGAACTCAATGATATAAAATAATTGTATACCAAAAACAAAACGATTCTGTGAGAAGACTATAATATAATTAAGTATATTATATGATATTTTTGTTATTTATTTTACTATTATACATTAGTAATACAGTAGATTAAATTAATTTCATTGTGTGTATGCAATACTTATAATAATATACTTTAAAAGTTTCAAATATCCACGGTTAATATTTTTGACTCAAAACAAAATAACTAAAATTAATATTCTTCTTTTAAATTTCTGATTTCATACAAATTTGAACTTCAAATATCTATAAAAAAAACAGTGTTACTTATAAAGTTATTAGATTTTTTGTTATATTATGAACTACTTATGAGAATGTTTTAAAAATCATTAGCTTTAAAAATTTCACATTTTTTAATTTTTGACTACAAAATAATTTTCTAGAATTTTTTCAAAATTTTAACTTTAAATATTTTTTAAAAAAAGTTGTGCCTATGTATCTTTAATATTTTTCAACTGCTATTATGACTACTGAGGAATCTTGTATTACATTTTCAAGTCTTAATTGGTATATTTTTTTTAACTTTTAAAGTAATTTGTTTTGTTCTGTAAGATTATGGGAATCTATAGTACATTTATCTATAGTTATAAATTAGATCAAGATATTTGATATATCAGTAGTTTGTTCTCTTTTAAGTTGCTGTGTTCTAAACCAATCTTTAATACAATTTTCAAATGTATTTTCATAATTGTGATGAATTTTAGTACATATTTCTTATATTAAAATGATCATACCAAATCGTGCAAATAAAAATAGATAATAAATTAAGTTTATAAAATTTGAAAATCAATATTTTACACAGGTATTCATCATTTGAGCCTATCGATCTGTGTTCTAGTGTTGGATTCCCTAGTTTTATATTAAGTGTGCTAATCTATAATCTACCACATTGTCTTCAAAAGTATAAGGTACGTTTGAAAACTATTATTTTTATAATTTATAAAATTTTAATAATTGATAAAGATACAATAAAATTTAGACAAATACTATTCGTTTATAATATTATAAATCCTTAGTATTATTCAGTTTAATTCCACGCTTTATACATATATACCTAGTTGTTGCGGCTTGTGCTCTTATTTATTAGGTATGGAATATAGGTAAAGAATTATTTGTTTACCAAAAATTATAAATTCTCATGTAAAGAACTTACCAAAAAAGGCAGTAAATGGCGGTGTGCCGAAAAAAATTTCAACTCTAAGCTGTAGGTACATAGACGAGTGTAAAACTACAGTTCTCTATGACATATTATATCTAATCTAGTACAGCGGAGTGCAATGGAAGATTTAACGGAAAACCCGTTGAAATTAATAAGTAAGGAAATATCTAATAAATAAACAATGTTAAAACCGATGAATTCGATAATTTTGTTACGTATTAACTTCAGTATTGACGAATTATAGAATAAAATTATAAATTGACTGAGACGGGTTTTGCATTTTATTTTCATTTATTCTTAATTGCGCAATTGATGCATATCTTTTCAGAATACCTTTTTTGCTAGAGCAATAGATGTATATTATACAGGATAGTGTCCCAAATTCGGCGCAATTGATGAACACATGAGTAGACTACTGCAGGGGTAGGTACTTGTTAGCTTTTGTTGGACTACAACTCCCCTCATTTGAACTTTAAATACATATAACTTAGACATGAGTACCATATAAATACATAAGCTACTTGTTTTCAATTTGATTTTCATAGATAAAGTATTCCGTTTAATACTCCGCTCCGGTAAATGAAATATAAAATGTATGTTATCATTTCAAAGAAAAAAAAGAAAAAAATGATGGTGATAAAATTATAATTATTCTCATGTTGTTTTATAACGACTTAAATTATTTGAAAACATATTTTCGGAAACATTATATAAATACCTAATATTGTTATATCGTTTTTAAAATAATGACTGTCTTACGTTAAATAGTTCACCACGGGTTAGTTAATGTAGTACAGCCAGTACAGGTTAAAGCACGTAGTTCTTTTATTTAAATTAAAAGGGCAAAGCCTTCACGCGTGTCATTTATGTGCTATACTTACTTAAAAGTGTTTACTACTCGAAATTACCAAAAATAAGAGACACTGAATTGGACGAATATCATTTTCGAATTCGTGTACGGGGGAACGATGATAATAACAACAAAAAAAACATCTCAAAAAAAAAAAAAATTATAAAATGTTATTCAATTATTTGCGAGTATGGAGACGAACGGACATTTCATCGCCGACGGGTGAACTTGACCAATTCCGCCAGCCACTCCATGGCGTCGCTCAACCCGTCGTCGGCCGGCTGGTCGGCCGCCGATATTGCGTCCGTGCTGGCCAACCGCCAAGGACGGTCCTGTTCCATGTGCTCATGCAGTCTGAGTGCTCCGGCCATGGCAGATGCGCCGCACGCGTCTGGCGCCGCAGTCTTGTTGGCCACGAACAGTATGGGCAGGTCCGGTCGATCGGCCACGTCAGGGTGTCGGAGCATCATGTCCAGCTCGTCCTTGACCACAGCAAATCGCATCTGGTCCGTACTGTCTACCACGAACACGATGGCATCGCACTGGCCGTACATGGACTCCCACATGCTCCGGTACCCGTCCCGGCCAGACATGTCGCTGGCGGTGAACTTGACGTTGTTGACTGCAACAGTACACAAAACAGACAGCGGGTGAGTGAAGAGCCAAGAGACTCTTGGTCTTGCGATGGTTACAAAATATAATTTTAAAAAGTATTTCAAATAGGCTTGTGTTTAAAATGATACATCAATCAACCTGCTATTATAATTATTTAATTATACATATATTATTAATTGTAAATGCATATAATAGCAGTATCATTTCAGTACGAATGTTCAAAGGTGAGCAAGTTAATACGGAAAAAATTATGAACTTTAACCCAGTTCAAAAAAAGTTAATTTACTTTTTCAATAAGTACGTAGATTACGTAAAGAGTGACTGCGTTTTTGAGAAATATCTAATTTCCTAAATTATAATTATAATCAATTTTATAGAATTATTTATCATAATGTACAGCAGTGGCGCTAAAGTGTTTGAAAAATATTATGAAATTGTACATTAAGGGGCCTATCTTAAAAACTATCGTTTTTATTTATCTTTATAATTAAAATGCTTTATACATAAAATGCTGCATAATTTATAATTTTATTGAAAAAATTTCCTGGTCAATGCAAGTGCACTATATAATATAATGTTGTCTACAAGTATAAACAGCAATGCAGCATATCATATTTGACGTATATATATACAAATATACAACTATATTTATACGATAATTTAATTTTCAAGTTATTTTTCGAATTTTTTTCAATTTCCAGAATCTGATTACTGGCCGTATTTTTCTTATCGAAAGTTGTTATTTGTACCTACTGGACACTTATAAATATAATAATATTGTTAACCTTTGTCTTATGGCTTTATGCCTGTATCCAATATACTAAAATATTATGTCCATATTCAAAATTATTTTATCGAGAAAAATAACAGAAATATTTGTGTTATTATAGTATTGAAAGATTTTTATTTTTTTTATTAATATTTAAGTATATAAACGTAGAATGTCAATAATTTTTGAACTTGATAGATCATTTTTAAATCAACTGAAAAGCTAAGTTATTTCGACTGCCAATTAAACTAGTTAAGTTACAAAGTTTATTAGAAAATAAACTAACTAGTTAAAATACAGTAGATACATTGTCAGACACTATCATCATTATTGACCTATGATACTATAATTATTATTGTTATATTTTTTCCCAAATATTAAAAATATGTAACCATATTGTATATATAATAATAAGTTTACATTACAATGGCAGGGAAACTTAAATAAATAAAAAAAAATTATAAACGTTAATAAAATCCCAATTAGTTCATTCTCATACTACTCGGTGACGCCGTGCCCTATTCTGTCTCAGTGAAAGTTTTTTGATTCGTAAATTTTTATTTGTTTATGAGGAATATAAAAATGCATCGAATTTGCCTATATAAACCCCTTTTATTCATATAGGTTATTTGACTAAAATAATTAACTGTTAACTAAAGACGGGATTCATATGTATTTAAAATTTTTAAATATGCATGCAAACATTCAATAAAAAAGTCAAAATATGCAAGAAAAAGATACAAAAGATGCAAAATAAAATTTTAAATTTTATTGCGTTTTATATTTGTTTTAAAATTTGCAGTGATGATTATTTATTAATTTTGACAAAATTTTCATAAACAAAAAGTAAGATGTATAAAATAACAAATATCTAATACAATAATGTAATTTGTTAAATTGTAATTTAATTTTTAATCATTGATACATCGTAAAAAATATTTTATTAAAATTAAATAGTAGATACATTGGTGATATACTGTTATAAATATGAAGTACGAACAATATAATGTAGAATGTTAATTGAGAAAAAAATAACCTAACCTATTTTTAGCACCCGAATATTCTTTAAGATGTAAAATATTTGATATTAATATTATATAAACGTACCTTTAATTTGTTTTTTTGCCCAACACCTTTTTAGAATGTTATAGGTGTATATTTGTACGGTTTTTTGTTAAAATATGCAAAAATAATATTTTTGCATATTATGCAGAACATACACTAACGTCAGAATATGCACAATAAAATATTGATATTTAATCAGTCAAGTAATGATTAGTCTACATTCATTGACTGCATGTATATGACGTTGAAAATAGCAACATGCATTTTATGCAAAATCCGGTCTTTACAAATAACTTACTATTTATTTATTAGATTAATCTTATAAACAGTTTTATTATAGGGGTTTTAAATTCAAATTTGGACGAAATTAGATATTTTAACTGAGAATAATGATTTTAAATAATTTATTGTAGTTGAAAAAGATAGTATTAGGTATAAATAACTATTTGAATCTTTTAAAGAATATTATTATATCATACACGCAATGACATTTTCAAACTAAGAATTTGAAAAAAATACCTACTTTATGAGGTATGAGCTGGAATACTTAGGGACCTAGTAATTAATAATATAGGCTGACAGACGGTCTACGCTTAAGAATCATTTTTCAAGTCCAAATAATATATATATAATGATTTTATATCATTAAATTCAAATTTAACACATCCGTTACAGTGACCCATTGGACACCAAATGTACAACTGCCAGCAGGGCTGTACCCAATTGCTCACCGTTTTAAAACTTTGTTCTTGTTTTTTTTTCTTTTTAAATTGTGTATAGAAAAACGGGAGTTTTAAGCCAAACCAGTATTTGACATTTTTTTTACGGTGCGGTTACTTTACTAATAACTATAGGTTCTTTAAATTTTCACCAAATGTATATTTATGACCATTATTTTTTGTTTTCCCAATTATCAAGAATAATACTTTACATTTTCTATTTTAACCTTTTAAATGTACAAACTTATCTTATTTGTAATCAGAAACAACCCTCAAAGTTAAAAATAATTTTTTTCCACCACTTTTTGTTTATACAAACACACAAATACACAATAAAAAAAAGGGGGTAAGTGGATGTCGCCCCACTGTACATTAGGTACCTAGAAGGTCGCTGTAATGGATGGTATTAAATTTAAATTCAATGATTGAATGATATAATATCATTGTAGGTATACTAAAAACTATATAAAAAAATTCTGAGTGAGGACGGTACCTATGTCCGCAGTCTAGGATATTTCATATTGTTAGTTGTTACCTATTACTTATTAGTATGGTAGCTGGTAGGTTGAATTAATATTATTCTTAATTTATCAGTGATACTGGAAAAATATTATATATATTGATGTAAAATTGGGCTGTTTCGGAACCAAATTACAACAAAATTACTAAAATCGTTATTCTTTGAGTTTATATGTAATTTCGACTAAATTTTAACTTGAAATAGTTATAAAAAAAGTTGTTCTTATGTTTATTCTTAGATTTTTTGGTTACAAAATTAACCACTTACGTAGAACCTTGTTTTAAATTTTCAATTCTTAGCTATAAAATTTGAACATTTAATACATTTTCAATTTTCAGTTTGAGAAATTTTGTAAAGATTCGAAGTTCAAATGATTATAAAACAAAAACTTGTCAATGTATTTTTTAATATTTTTCAACCAATATTGTAACAATATATTAGGAGCCTTGTATTAAATGTTCATGCTTTAAAATTGCTTTTTGACCCAACAAATAAAATTTTATTGACATTTAGAGAAAAAAAACTTATCCGTTAACAGCTCAAAACGTGTCAAAATATTTTGAAAATGTTATCAAGTAAGTAAAATTGATAAACTAAACATGTGTTGTAAATTACAAGTATCTACCTACAGTTATTTGTTTTTGAATAACAACAAAATAAGGAAATTGCTACATGAGAAATCTAGAAAATATCCTATGTAAAAATTTGAACTTCAAACGCTCATACAAATTTAATTTGACTTTCAGGTAGAATTTATTTTGATAAAAGTAGACAAACTTGTTTTAAATTTTCAAATCTTAGATATTATTATGAAAAAAAAATTATTATGAATTTCTAGCTTAAGATAATTTGCAAATTTGCGTCATTTCTACGTATTTTGTCAAAATTTGAAATGTATAAAAAATAATTGTGAACTTAAGCTCAACTATTTTTTTTAATTTCACAAACAACAGCTTATGAGGAACCTTGAATTATATTTCAAGTTTTTTGACAGAGCTAACATTTTTTTATCAACATTAATCGAAAAAACTGTAATAATAATCGAACATTTCATATGCCAGTAAATAGTTTAACATGAGTCAAAATAATTTGAAAGTGTTATTGTATATAGAAAATGCTAACACGAATTTTCAGTGAATATTTTATATATCTATGGTCATTTTTTTAGAGTACACTAAAAACCAAAATCGAAAACTGGTTTTTATTTGTTATTTCTGTCACTTTTGAAGAATATTGGGAATTTTAAATTTTGATCTGCCGAATCTACCAACTAGATTCTCTTTTCTACCAGAAAAATTGTTGTTGAAGAAAATCGAAGCACTTTTAATGCCCCCAACAGTGATGACAGACACAAAAATAAAAAACACATATCATTGTAAAATCAATACATTCATCCATCATCTTAAAATCTAAAATGTAACTTTGTTGTGACGTGACTATTTTTAATCAAAATCAAGAGTAATAAATAAAACCTCAGTAATACCGAGCTTTTTTTTTTTTAAATTACGGATTCCTTTTGTTTGTTTTAAGTTTTTTTTATATAAAAGTTTAGCTTTTCTATTTATCGAATGAGGCAATACAAAGTCGAAAAAATACCGGTTTTCACCTAAGGTGACTTTTGCCGGGCAACGCTGGGTGGGACAGCTAGTAGACAATAAAAATTAAAAAAACTGGAATCCACTTCAAACACTGTACCTATATCATTTAAAATAACACGTCCAAAACTCTCGGAAAACTTTAAAAAAGAACGTTAATTATGACTATACAGACTATTTTGGAGCAATATGAACCGTTGACATTTCAAACTCTCTTAAAATGCATATATCTGCATATGATTCCAGGCTTTAAAACTATTTTTATTAGTACAAATAAGGCTTGAACGCAGATTCACTATATTATTCTAAGTTAATTAATTTTATCTCACTGAAAAAAATCCTGGCTATGTGCCTGTTTTGGTATAGTTTAAAATATGTACAGTGTACACAAGAACAGTTATTAACTATAATAAAGCCACTGTTGTAACAATATGTTCTAGAATTTTGATAACATTAATGCTAAATATGGCGTCAATTCCAGATATGACATTTAATAGAATTGTAAATTATACATTACATTATTGAAAAATAATAATTTAAAATTTTTTTATTATCCACAAGACTAACATTTGTATTAATTCTGCTATAGTGTATACTACGATAAGTTTTTATTTATGACACAAATATTATTAATAATGATCAATATAAATATATTAAATATATAAATAAAATAAATAAATAAATTAAAAATATTTTAATATTTTAATTTATATATTTAATATATAAATACATAAATTGTATGGGGTCAAATGCCGGTTCTTCAAATTTTTTGAAAATTATATAGAATATTTTAGTAGCCCCCTTAATTATAAATATTTATAATCCATATCCATTAATCTACTGCCCGATATCTTTTTTAGGGGGACGGGAAGTGCCTCAGTTAATTAATAGTAAATAACTAGATAATAACAAAAATAATTTAAAATAGTATTATATTTAAATAATAGTAATACAATAAAAATATAAACATTTTGTACATTTTACATAATACATAATACATTATCCACACTACAAAATAGTAGATTTGTATCTAAACTAAAAATATTTTCATTTATTTTATAGAAACATTTAATTAATTTGAACACAACGCACTTTAAAGGTACTTTCTAAATATTAAATTTAAATTATTCTTAATCATAAATACTTAAAGACAATATTATATTACACTATGTATGACATTTAAATTAAAAATATAGGGTACTAATTCAGTAATGTTTGATTAAACGCAAAAATCTCTTTTCTTGGTCAAAATTAATGAGGATAATCAACTATATAATATTAAGTATTTAAAATTATCATGCATTTTTAAAAATTATCATCGATTTTTATAGTTTTAAATTATAGTAAAAAAACAATTAATGAAATATGATTTATAAAAATTTAAAAAAAACTAAAAAGATACTTACTTTTATTTAAGTAAAATGGAATATTTTAATATCACAAAACATTATTCTTACCATATAATCTACCACGATCAACGAAAGAAAAATATTGTACAAAATATACAAAAGTATGTGTATGAAATTTGTATTTAAGACAATTATGATAAATTACAATTAAAAAATAATAATAAATAATATATTTTGTAAAAACAGGAGATTTATTATTTATTGTTTAAAACCTCTATCTTTTCTACTTTTTTTATTTGTTTTGAATTATGGGTAAATTATAAGTTTGATATTAAAACAGCAATACAGTGATAATGGATAATGTCAATTTATATGAATACATTTTTTATACTTAATTAAGTTTCATATAGATAAATATGGCTTAAACTAATACGGACAGCCACATTCAGCTGAATAACGACATATTAATGATTGCCATGGTAGACCATTGGCTCTTTGATCTTTAATTATACGTTTTGCTTTAGGCAAACCAAATGTATGAGTTACTCTAGAGTAATTTGGTAATATCCATTTATTACACAACATACAACGACCAACAACATCAAAATGTGTCCACAGTGAGCGAGGTAAATCTTGTCTCTTAAATGGTATTAAATTATCTAATATATTGTTAAATGCCAAATGGCTTAATGGTTTAATACCAACGTGACGTAAATTTTCAGTATTTAATGTATCTAAATATATTTTTATGTGGTCAAACTCTAGAGATCTCGGTAACTGAAATAAGTTATTTGATATGTCGATTTCTTTGAAGATTTTACTAGACAAAATATGAGGAAAGTATTTTATTGAGTTGTCAGCAACAAATAAGCATTCGAGTTTCTTAAGCTCACCAATGATCTGAGGTAAATATGACTGAAAAAAAACAAAATTTTTAAATTACTAAAGCAACTATTTAAATTTATCTTGCATACACAATAATAATTTTTTTTCTATTATATTCAAGGTTTTATCATAATTAAAAATTTAGAGCCCTGAATTATATGCATTCACATGTTTATTTATAATATATGGTGTATGCTATGTGCAAGTAGTTTGAAATATTGACTTTTTGTACAACACCAAGTTTTGTTTTGAATAATATTAATTGTAGGACTATTTCATAAAAAGCTTATCCTATGGGATAGGTTAATATAATATATTATTAATCTTAGGTTAATATAATTAATCAACAAATTTATATTTTAATGTTTTAAATTGGATGTCTGTGTTATGTTTTTTTTCTTTGATCCACAGGCAACGTAGCAAATGTGAGTTTACCAGAATCAATCATTTATTATTAGCTCTAATATTAGAGTAAAATAACCTATTATAAAAGTTGCTAACATAGATGTTTCTACGTTGGATTTTTTATGATGTTTCAATTTTTAGGCCTTACCTAAATAAACATTTTTAAATTGTTATACTTACTTCCTCATAACTTACATAAAAATTTTAACATGTTAAAAAATTCTGTATAAGCACCAAAAAAATGTTTTAACTTATGAAACTTAAAGATAGATCAATTCACTATATTACCTATTACAGCTATTAACACAAGATTGGTTCTGCAGACAGAAAATTTGCTACTTTACGGTTAGGTCAGAAAAATAAAACCGAGAGCACACAATAATAATAATAAGGTATAATAAATATGAATAAAATAAATTAATTATTTGAGTATTCTTCTGGAAAAGGCAAAAAATGTTAAATTTATTCTTGATATAAAAGTTGTATGCGTTTTTTTTTTTTATCGAGTATATTGAATATATAAATATAATAAACATAACTACTTATTTAGGTAGTCACTTTTTCTCTGCAAATATTTTTAATTGTTGAATTGGTACATACAATTCTGGGTTTTAGATAAATTACAAAAAGAGTAATTAATTTTTGGCTTTTATCTATAATCTATATTCTCAAAAAAAGAATACCTAATATTGTTAAAAATAATATTGTCATATACAAATGTTCAATCCTCAACAACTAGCATCACCAAGCATATTAAATCAAGAAAATTGATTGGATATTAAATAAGTAAATAAAACAGTAAAATATGCATGTAAAATATATTATGTAAGTACAGAAAATGATACAACAATATTGACTGTATGTCTATTGTCTATACAGTCTGTTTCTTTTTAAAGATAACACTAAATAATTCTGTCCAGTGACATCAGATTGATATGCGGTTTTCGGGAGGAGATAGGGAATACTTAAATTCTTTACGAATTTTTTTAAGTCAATTTGGTCTTTTACACCATAGCTCTAAAATCAAAATTGACTAAATGACAATGAGTTAAAGTTTCGATTAAAACTATTGAATTTTTCAACAATCGTACTAGAATTTTATGAATTTTTATGAAATCTCAAGTATTTTTTTTTTTTGTACCTGTAGGCTTGCAGACATTATTAAATCATTTAAATTTAATTTTGAGGAATTAATTAACATCCATTAGACGTAAATGTTTAATTTACTAAGAAAAAATTAAATAAACTAATATGATTTATTTCTCATATTTCTTCTATTATTAAAGTTTCAATTTCAATTATTAATTGTATGGTTTTTTGTTACTTTTCATGATACAAGTGGGTAATTACTTGTAATGTCTATGATTATTTTATTTACAGCCATTTATTAAATAAACTAAATTTACTAAAATACTTGAAATTTCATAAAAATTCATAAAATTCTAATACGATTGTTGAAAAGTTCAATAATTTTAATCAAAACTTTAACTCATTGTCCTATAGTCAATTTTGATAGATATGGTGAAAAGGACCAAACTGACTAAAAAATTCGGTCAATCTGAATTTGGTATTCAAAACACTTTAAAAAAAATGCAAGTTGTATTGGGCATGCGCACACGGAAAGATGTAAAAATGTAAAAATCATCAAAAAATGTGTATTTAGGTATTCCCTATCTCCTCTTGAAAACCGCATATCAATCTGATGTCACTGGACAGAATAATTTAGTGTTACCTTTAAAAAGGTAGACACTGTATACTACGTACAGTTTATCAATGCATTGAAGAAGGAAATTAGAGAACAAAACAATAGTCTATAAAAGTGCATGATAAAAAAGACTTTTAGTAATTATGTTATTATTAGTAATAATTAATTCATAAATTACCAGCTTATTATTGCGTGCAGATAAAGTTTCTAGATTTTTCAGGAAGGATATTTCAAATGGCAATGTTTTCAATCCTATGGAATCCATTTTCAAGGTTCTTAATGAATTGCAAATTGTGGTTATAGATGTCCAATTCCAAAGGACATCTTGTTCATTTTTTGAAGTTGGCAGTTTACTACCTGAAATGCTAAAATATTCAAGGGATAATTGGCCAATTTGAAAAGGAATTTTAGGTAAATCGCAGTCTTCCAGCAGTAGTGTCTTCAAATGTCTCATGTTCAATATACGGTTGTCAAAACGTTGAATAGATGAGAACTGGAGAGCCATTGGATCAAAACGATTCATTTGAACCTTTTTAGTAGGCACTGTCTTAGGCATTAAATGTGTTCTAATGTTTACATTTTTTCCGGCAATAATGGTCTTAAGTTGACGAAAGAACAAGTAAAGCAGTCTCTTGTCATCGCATACTATCAACAATGCTTGTTTGGGCTCACTGAACTCCAATCCTATCTTCCCATCATTGATGAACTTGTGGTATATGTTTTGCAACATAGTGAGCTTGTAGCTCATAATGTTCGGGAACATTGAGTTCTTCACACATACATAGTAATCGTCGTTTACTCTTTTGGTCATCACACACGATCTGAGAGACCGTGTGTTCGGTCGAGTAGCATTCAGATCTTGGATAATGAGCGAACAGGTAATTAACATCGTTACTACCACACGCGCGTTCACAATTAATCAAAAACGAAGAGTATCGAAGATTCGACAATTGAATAACTAATCCAAGACAATTAACTAGGTACCTCGAATTTATTGATCCACGATGGTCGTGTACTGTTCCGGTAATCTTAATTCTCGATTCGTTATCACGACGTCTTGCGACATAAAACAAATTTAAATAATACTTATATTGATCAGATTGGAAACAACGCTCAGTCAGCTGATTGGTTGCTTGTGTTTTTATTTTTATTCTCTCCGCGAATTATTATTCCGATGTATGGAGGTACAATAACGTTGAAGAAGAAAAATTTGATAGCCCGTACTGTTAACGGAATAGTTACGTACCGGCTCGTATCGCAGTTTGAGTAATGAGTACGATACGGATCGGTACGTATCGCTGGTATACTGCATACAACATGACTTCTTGAAAGCGCAGTATTGAAACGATAGTCTATACACAAGTCACTGCAATTTCTTGCTCGAAAATTTTGCTTCCTTCCAATTAAACCATAAGTATATTAAAGCACCATAATAAGTGTCGGGTAAACTTTAAAAAAAAATGTTTGATTATTGATTACCTACTAATTAGTTAATACAATTTGACAAATGAATTAAGAGCAGTAGCGTCAGAAACATTGTTAATGATAAGTATTTAAATGTTTGAATGTGTGAAGGCCCAGCTACAGTAAGAGCTGAGCAGAAACTGAAATACACGTATTTGAGATAGGTACGTAACTGAGTTACATTTGTAACTTGTATCTTGTATTTTTTAGTTATATTTTTGGAGTGACTTATAATAATTGATATATACAAGATACTTGAATATTAAAATGTTATACTATGTTTTTTAAATCTTAAATTTAAAATGTTGGTACCTATTCGGGTAGTAAGCTAGGTATACCTACCGGCAAATTGTTACTTACCTAGGTACTGGGATATATGACGTACCTCCGTCATATTCTTGTAAAAGTTGTATTTTTATTTCATTCTATTTCGGGAAAATACCTGTTAGTTGTGACTTGAGTCGTCATGATTTACGATAAACTACATTAAACTAACCTTTACAATACTACAATATAGGTACCTAATATCCATTATGATACGTAACTGGCAACTGATATATATCCACCAAGACATTTCAGAAAACTTACTTTTTCAGGAATGACTTAAAAACAACAAGAGTACATGACATATAACAAATAACTATAGGTACTCTATAAAACATTTTAAAATACTGGGCAATGATGACCATCAGTAATTCATCAAGTACATACGCTTTCGTCTAGTAGTTTTTAATTAATTAGTAGGTAGAGCAAGGCCGTAATTTTGGAGGGGGTTAGTTAAAAGTATAAATATTTTAGCTGTGAATACCCTATTGTTTATTGATTACAATTGTACATTTTCATTAAAGTAATAATAACGAGCATAACTTGTTTTAATATTTTGAACGTAAAAATAATGAGTATTCTGTCTTCTGTACCTATACGGCTATACCTATATATTAAAATAAGTTGGACCCCCAAAAAGTGTGTTTTTAGTTACGGCTTACTGCTTAGGCGTAGAGTAGGTTCGCCGTTTTTGGTCGCAAACCTACTACACGAATACTAAACTGTTTATCTTTTATGTGATGTAAATTATAGTATTTTAGATACGGTTCAACTTTTCATCCTATGTACTTACAGATTAAGAGAACGCCATACGGCATTTGTTGTCTCGGTCTTACAAGCGTACAACATGGCAAATTTAAATGTACAGTTTAAAAATGGTCATAAACTCATAACTTATTTTAAAATTATAATATCAATACAATCCTCCGAGATGCTCTTGATAATATTCTTGCCTTTAAATTTTATACGAAATAAATTTACTCTAATTTTAGAAATTACAGAGTAAAATGTATTATTGTGAACTAAAAATTTGACATGTTCTACTTTTGTGAGACGAAGACAACAAATGCCCATATAATAACGCCCTATTACGATAGATACCTAATCCACCAGACATTGTCATTCAGATTTCTGACACTTCTATTAAAATACTTAACTCAAAATCTATATACCAACCTACAAGACAATACAATATTAAACAAAATGAAAATTTAGATAAATTAAACTGTTTTGACGTAGGTATTAAAAGAAGATGATAACTTTCTTATGTTCTCATTTCAGGACCAGGACACGGTCTGTCAACATCTCCAGATAGTTAGGTATAAAAAAGCTGACTTAAAATTATTGCGATATTTACGATTTAGGCTAGCTAGATAGCTTAACACTTATCGAAGTAGGTACAGTTTAGTAGGTATTTAATAACTTTTAATTTTATACTCTTTACTTTTTTAATATTTTAAAATACCAACATTTAATGAATACTTTTATATTTTAGTTAAATGAATCAAGTAAAACAATTAAAATTATATTTAGGTAGGTTTATCAAAAAAGTTCATTATTTAAGATTTTTTAGTATTTTTTTATTTTTTACATGGTGTATAAATACACATGACTCACAAAACATAAAACAAATATCTTCCAATAAACCAAATTACAATTACAGATAATTGTCTTAGGTACCTTTAGGTTTGAGAGATCAATTCATTCTAATACTAAAATGTAAAGCTTATACCACAAAATTAGGCTACTAAGCACAAATTTGCTGTTTTACCATAATAAAACAGAGATAATACAAGAGAGGGTGTGGCTGTGGAATCTTTTTATTTATATTCATATTGGCTTGGTAATAATAAAATAACAGTTTTTTGTCAATTGATAATCAATTGTCTACATAATAAGGAATATGTAGGTACAATAAAGCATATATTAAAATCGTTTATTATTTTTTAATTTGTTGTTTTTACAATAATATTGATAATTAAATTGTATTATGATTATTGTATTTTAATATTTAGGTATAGCTTGCATACCAAGTTTTAAACAAACCTATTATTATTTATAACTTAAAAGTTATAAGGTATAACATAAAAAAAACTTTTTAAAACTAAAATACTTTTATAATATTAATTGTACCAGTTCAAACTTCGATTAATATACTTTATACATGACAAGCTATATATTATTGTAATAATTTTAAAACCAAAGAAGTCCTTCTGTCGTATAGTAGGTATATTAGTTTCAAGTACCTATAGGTACCTAATATAATATATTATGTTGGTAGTTATATGTAAATTTTACTCGAAAATATCCAATTCTGAACTAATATTAACTTAATATCTAACCCATAAAAAATATTTATGGAATTACACTAAACTTTTTATAACTCTTGTATAAGCAAAAGGTATATGGAACTATATATTACATTTTCAAATCTTAGGTATGAATATTAATTTAAATGTTATTCACTATCAACTAGGTGCAAAATAATTTGCAAATGTTCGCAACTATGACAATTTTTAACAATTTAATTGAATACGCTCAACGTTATTTTAATTTCAATACAACAACTATATGAAGAACCATCTATTATATTTTCAAACTGTTTGACCGAAAATCTATTTTTCATCGATGGAATAGGAGTTTATAGAAAAAATATCGAACATTGCATGTGTCTTTAATAGCTTAAAAATATTTAGTGAAAATTTAGAGTATCTATCCACGGTTAGATACGAGTAATCCCACGAAGTTAATCTGCGAGTAAAAACAACAGTTAACTATTATCAATTAAGTAATTTATAAAAAATAATAATTTTTAATATTCCTACTATACACAGTGAAGTGAAAGTGTGAAGTGTGAACCATTTTTTTTTGTGGGGATTAGGGAGAGTAAAATAAGTGTTATACTAATACCTCAATTAAAAATAGTTATTGATAACGTCCTGATGATGTTATTAGGTTAATAAGTTAATAAGTTGGTAAGTTGTATTTTAAATCGTGCTGAATATTCAACCAAAGATAATGTTGAAAAAAGATCAACTTTTCTCGTAGGAAAGTGAATCTAGTTAGTGCATTCGAGAGATCAACATTTAAAATGTCCAATAGTTTTCAAAAGCAATAGGAAAAACAAACAAAAATTAAGGAAGAACGGGAACCAGTTTTCGATTTTGGTTTTTAGTGTTACTTAAAAAAAATGACCATAAATACATGACATTTTCACTGAATATTTGTGTAAGCATTTTCTGTATACCATACAATTTTCAAAATATTTTGATTGTCGTTGAACTATTTATAGGCATATGAATTTTTGATTATTATTTGTTTTTTTTAAACTACTGTCGATATAAAATTTTCCCTCAGTCAAAAAACTAGAAAATGTAATAGAAGGTTCCTTGTAAGTTTCTGTTAGTTGAAATTTAAAAAAAAAGTTGAGCTTAGGTATATGATATATAAGTTATATCCTCAGTTATTTATGAGTGTTGAAACTTAGAATTTCGATAAAATTCATAAAAATCACGAAAATTAGCAAATTATATTTAGTTAGAAATTCATAAAAATTTTCTATTTATATCTAAGATTTAGAAATGTAATACAAGATCTCTTATGAGTTGGTTTACCTTTAACAAAAAAAAAATTTCTATCGAAAAGTCAAATTCAATTTTTATGAGCGTTTGAAGTTAAAATTGTTATAACATTAGATTATATTAAGCTGTTGACGGACATTTTAAATTTTCATTTTTTTTCATTTCTTTTTTCTATAAATGTCCATAAAATTTTATTGGTTTGGTCAACAAGCATGAAAATTTAATACAAGATTCTTGATAACTTTTTACAATAGGAGTTGAAAAATATAAAAAACACATACCTAGGCACGATTTTTTTTATTAAGTTCAAATTTTGACAATATTTATCAAATTGAAAATTGAAAATGATTTTGTAGTTATTAAATCTTCAATTTTCATAGCGAAGGATTGAAAATTTAAAACAAGGTTCCACTTAAGCAGTTTTTTTCTATTACTGAGAAATCGAAAAAATATACGAATACAGTTATTTTTACAGACATTTTAAGTTCAAATTTGGACAAAACTGCATATTAACACAACAGAATAAAGTTTATCATTTTTTTGTAATTCAGTTCCAAAACAGCCCAATTTTACATAGGTATATTTAATATATTTCCGGCATCACTGATGATTTAAGATCAATATTAATTCAATTTATCGGCTACCATCATATTAATAATAAGTAATAACAGTATAAAATATCCTAAACTGACATACCGTCTCCGCTCAGAATCGTTTTTCGTATACAATGATATGATATTGAATTAAAATGAAATACCATCCATTACAGTGACCTAATGTACAGCTGAGCGACATCCACTTACCCTCATTTTCTTAATATTTTTTCTTTTAACCCAATTATTGAGAAAATTACTGGATATTTTCACTTCCGATCTCTGAAGTATACCAAAAGTTCCAAACACACTAAAGTGTCAAAGTACCAACCAGTTTCACTTTTCTAACATAAAAAATATTAAATTTTTTATTCTAATACCTAACTGGTAGGTTAGTTATTTACAATTATAAAAAATGCCTTCAGATCATAAAAAAACACACACAAAATCAATACGACGAGTCGCTCCATTCAAAGAATTTAAAATTAAAATAAATTTTTTATCTTTTATGTAAAACCGTGATGAGTTATTATGATCCTGAACATGATTTAGCCTACACAGCTAAAAGACACTCCTTAACAATGTGCACAATAGCACTGATAGTGGTTATATTTTGTAATTTTTTATGTTATAGAGACACTCACACACGAACATATCGGTGGTAAAACCGACGGTGGGCGCGATCAGTTTTCTTGACAGTTGTTCGCGTTCCGGTTTCAGACGGTTCAGCAGTGTGCTCTTGCCGGCGTTATTCAGCCCGACGAATAGCACTCGCGCTTTCCGCCTGCGTGGTGTCCGCCTCACAAAGCCCAGCATCCTCGTCAGCTTCCGCCAGATATTCATTATCTTCTGCGATGGCCGATGGTTACAGGCGTACAAGAGGGTGGTGGTAGCAACTTGTGCTCCTTCCTTAAAAACGCCACGTTTCCGGACAGTTGTCTTCCTCGACGTAACTCGGCCTGATTTGAAGAGCAAAACTGACGATGACCTGCAAGACTCGTCGACATTGATAAAGCTGCTCTCGCACGCGCGCTCACTAGCCGCCTAACTAACTTATAAGTAGGTACATACCTACCTAGCTACCAACCCTGTTCCCACGACAATCGTCATGGTTACCCGGTACGAACTTGTGCAACACAACAGCTATACTCTCGATCATTATAACTATTATTATTATTATCATTAAATATTTATGTTTGGATTAAAGCCACTGCATGACTACAAGGGGTATAATATGGTAATAACTAATTAGCTAATAATTATGTAATAATATTACATTAGGTATCTATTATATATTATATTATAAAAAATTAATATCAGTTTACAAGTTACAGTATAAATACACACTGTAAGGCTTAGGTGTATTTTCAATTTTGAGTATAAAGTTCATATCGTCATCGTCGTCGCGCACTTGACATTTCTTTGACTTAGTTTGACATGGAATTCACGGTGATCAACTCTGACATCGGGCGGTCTGGCAGAGACGACGGTTATCATAACGGTTCGGATGCAGCGTCGATAAGAAAATTTGAACACGTCGGATGTCTGGATCTCAGTTGTTCGAGTGAGATTAATATATTGAATATCGCTCCTATAATATTATAGACGATATTATGACTATTTTTTTTATTTTGAATTATCTTATTGCTTGTTTCTGAACGCTGCAATTGTACCTATATTCCGTGTCCACGGGGATCACATTTTCAACTGTAGTAAATTAAAAAAAGTTTGTTAATTTATTTCATACTTATTATAGTTGATAAATACTAAACATGTATATGTGTAGTAGGGAAATTAAAATATTTAAAATTAATGAAATAAAAAAGGTTTTATAGTATATATATAATACATACCTATTATATCTTATTCCTGAACAATTTCGTCAGAAAAAAAGAATTAAATATAATATAATACTGTTATTATAAAAAGGTAGGTTTGGTTAGGTAACTATTAGATAAGCAAGACTGTACTCGTATAATATAGTTCCTATCTGACTAGGGAACTACGTATGGTCAGTGGTCGAAGTTTTGGTAATACGGTGGAGTGGCATTCCTCCACTTTTTATAACTCACATTTTCCATCCCTCCACTTATTTTGTCGAAAATCATGCATCCCCCTTATAATTATACACAAATATTAGGTGTCGATAAACATATAGCTAAGTTGTATACAATCTGTTTTTTTAGTACCTACTAGGAGTTTAAGTCAATATTTTTTATTTTGCATAATTTGAAAATTTAGCTTTCTTTTCCATAAAAGTACATATTTTGTTATATTTGTATTTTAGATTCTGAGCGGAGCGATAAATGTATTGATTTCACAATGATGTGTGTTTTTATATTTATTTTTTTTTTTTTTGCGTCCATCATCACGGTTTCTTGCAGTAAAATGCTTAGATTTTCTCCAACAGCAACTTTTCTAGTATAGGAAAGTGAATCTTGTTGGTGCATTTAGGAGGTTAAAATTTAAAATTCCTAATAATTTTCAAAAGCAACGGGAAAAACGGGAATTTTTACTCAAAACCATTTTTCAAAAAAATCGATTTTGGTTTTTAGTGTAACTGTAACAAAAATGACCGTAGGCACTTGAAATGTACAACAAATGTTTATTTCATCAATCCATATCCTTGATTTCCTTGATTTTTTTCATATTAATAAATATTTCTTTTTTGATTAATTTTAGTTAAATAATTTTATATTTATTAATTAACGGTATTATCACTATATTATACTATAATGCATAACTGATACTTGATAGTATTTATAAGTTGCATATGCATTAATACTTTGAGCATAAATTCATAATATATTATATAATATTAATAATATTATGTATATTATATTTCAGAATTGTAATTATATTCAAAATATATATTTAAATGTAGCTACTTTTATAGTTATAAGTATTCGAAAAATGAAAATAAGACACCAAACTAAAAACTAAAAATATAAACTATATATAAAATTGTATTATAAAAAAGGTATGAGAAGTTTAACTGATCCCCTCACCCTCACCATCCATATGGTGTACAACTTTTTATGCCATATATGAAAACTATATAAATTATGAAGTGCATTCCTTCACTTATTTTGAGCAACTTCCTTCGAATACTGCGTCTATAGTGCGTATAGTATGACTATTATTATTAAATTAACGGGCTGATGAAATTTTTATTCTTTTCTAATTTTACCAGTTAGTAAAAAAAGCCGATGCTCCTTCTATACGACTTTAACTAATAATTATATGTTAAAAATTATCTACGTATATACTATGTAATAATATATTATTATGAGTTAGGCTATACCACCTTGCAGACACAGTCAGAAATAATATTGTAATATTTAAATATGATTTTGCTAAAAAATTTTAAAATTACGAATGTTTAATAACTTATAATAAGACCTATAGATACTTAAAAAAAGAAAGAATAACAAATTTTAAATCGTACTTATTATAGTTATAATAATACATTGTTGGGTTAATGTCAAATTTATCTTTTCAAATATTAATGTGAAAACTGATTAAAACATTTGATTCATTTCCGCTGACCCAGTGACATCTGACATTACAATATAAACATAAATATTAACAAATAACAATGTGTGCCAAATTTAGTTACATAAGTTATTATTAACCTTTCAATAATTTCAAATACATAGAACATAAATGTAACACATTTTATTAAAACGAAGAACTCTAAAATAGCAATTTAAAAAATAAAAAAACTTAAAAAATGGATTAAAAAATAAAAAACAACTACTTCTGTTTAGTAGATGATGTATGAAACAAATGTATAGCACACATAGCTATATTGGACCAATAGTCAATAAAATGAAATGCCTACAACATCCGAACCCTAGTAACAAGTAATTAGTTAAGAGTTGTTACTTATTAGTTATTAGTTATTATTGTTATTAAGAGTTAGGTATCTACGATCTACCTATTCTACTTCTACCTATTACCTATATAATTTATAAATATAAATATCTATATTTAATATTTATGAAAATTGTCATAAGTATGGCATCTATGAATAATAGTTGAATAATATGACATGCGAAAAATAAAATATATAATTGTATTACATTTTTATTTTTTATATTGACTTTCTGTAATTATTGTGAAAAATGTTTTAAACAACTATCTGATAATCATTTATTGTATACAGATATATTGCACATAGCAAATTTGTGTTTGATATCGTCCACCAATCTTACGTCTTTAAAATTACCGGTCAATCGTATTGATAAAATTTGCAATCTCGATTCCTACACAAATCTTGTCGAGTTGGACCTTTCTCATAACCATATTAAGCAGATCGAAAATCTCCAGGTAATTCAATTTTCATTAATTTGTAGGTAATTTAACTGTACGGCTGTATGGCTATATATACGTAGGTAAGACGTAAGTAACGAATATACTATATTATCATTGGCACTCAACTAAAGTCTAAAGACATCTGCACGGCTCACGGCTGCACCTAAAATCGAAATTCAATACACTGTAATTTATTTTCACTATTATGTACCTATTATCAGAGTAGGCAGGGTAAGGCCAAATGGTTACATAATAGTTATATCATATATTTCAAACAAAAAATGATAAATTTATTTACAATAGTCTAAGTAATGTAAATATTCTTTTGAAAATGTTTTTGAAATAAAATATACAAAATGGTTAACTTGAAATATCTATGTATAAAAATACAACTGTCAGTCTTACCTATTGTAAATAAAACACAGCTCAGATGTTGAGCCTTGGATATACATCATTAAATATCATAATAATTTGACTATTTGAGGTAGGAATTACACTACATATGTAATTATATTGCAAATGCAAAAGTTTGTAAGTTAAAAAATGTATCTGCCCAACCTATTAACAATAAAATATAAACTGTTGCGGAAATAGAATAAAAAAGTGAACAACTACTCATTATTATCAGCTATTATGATAAATATTTTATCATAATTATTTATATGTACTATTATAGTAGTATACATTAAATGAGACTAAGAAGCCTTTGCGAAATACTATTGTATGCTAGCATATTGTATACAAACATGAATATAATTTGATGACTATAGGTATCTATATAGAAAATTAATATACGCACCTAATACCTACAAGGTTGTATATACATATATATATATACATATATATGTACATATGTGTATTGGTAATAATAAAAATATTATTTAAATAATTCAAATATTTCAAAAGTATTTTAAGAAAGACGTATTTAAAATGAAAAATACAAAGTACAATATCAAAACATAAATAAAAAAATAAAACAAAAATTGGAAAATATGCTTTTTCAAATAGGTAAATAGATATATTTAATAAACGCATACCTGAATACCCATTTTTTCCAACCTTGTATATTATAACATATTTCCGAATCAGATTTTGTTGACAAATTAACAACAATGATTACCTATTATTTTGAAGGGATTGGTTAAATTGAAGCGTTTGACTTTAAATCACAATCCATTGACAAACATTCAAAATTTGGATACTCAACGTGATTGTTTAGAAATGCTAGACATAGGATGTTGCAAGATAGCCGATTATAAATTTGTAAGTTCATAATAGATACATCACTATACCAGTAAGATTTCTAGGTTTTTCTTTAACATCAATGAACTATAAGTACTAAAAATAATAATGTGATTGATTTTTAAATGAATTTTCAGGCTTTGTACTTACGAAAGTTTAAGAACCTTATATCGCTAATTGTAGAAGGTAACCCATGTCAAACAGAACCCATTGACTCGCAACGGACATTCATACTATCATTTGTACAATCATTACTGGTGTTGAATAATAAAACTATTGCAGTTGAAGAAAGAAAAAAAGCTCTAGATACACACAGGTATAACTTTAATTATACCTATTATAGCTAGCGTATAGATACCGAAATGATGTGAACAACAGGCGGTTATCGATGGAAGGGTTAGGAGGTTAGCCCTCTCCCCAAAAGGAATTGTTTGTTCTTTCATCATCGACAATGTAAATTGTAATCACAATGAGGACCACTTTACTTCTAAGATATAGTGCTAGTAGTGTAGGAAGGCAGGTGCTAGGGGTTTCCACCTCGTTGGGCCTTTTTTTATTACTTTAAGGCGTTATAAAAGAAAGAATCAATATTTGTTGACTGTTGGCTGTAATTGTCTGTTATACGTATTGCATGATAAAAATGTGCTCAAACGCTCAATACAATTTATGCCATTTGAGTGACCTTTAAGTGCTCGCAGTAAATACACTATAATTTTCACAACATTTTTTTAATAAATAATATTTCAGTTTATTAATATGGATTTCCTAGTATGGTATGTTGGTACAGCTGTAAACAATTCAAAAGTCCTGAATAATTAAAACTTATTAATTGTTGGACCCTATCCCCCCCTTCCACAAAAAAAAGCTCTAAATACGCCACTGAACGCTAGTCCCTTCAAAATGCAACCAAATGTCCAAAATACGTCCGCATATAATGTACACTTGTATTTATTAGACTAATTTGCTAGTGCATATGTAAACAGATAATCTTCATTCTCCAAACACCCGAACGAGTCAATTCAAATTACGTGTTTTATTTTTGTCAATTACGGCTTTTATCACATAAAAAATGTATGGTTTTTATTTTTAGTCAACTGATTGCTATACTTGAAAAAAACGACAAGAAATGGAAACGGTTGTCTGTGGACGAACAACTACGATTAGAACAAATGGCGAGCAGGAAGGACGCCTTTTTAGATGGAATCCCGGAAGGCGAAGACGTCGATTTCAACGTGAGCGTATTTCGTAACCCGACCGTGGAACAAGTTCTGATGGAAAACGGCCGTTACGGAATTTATAATGTTTACAGAGGGTAAGGCCGTATTATTGTATCCGAATTTAGGTGCACCAGTGATGGTTTTAACTGGGCGATTATCTATATCTATTGGAATTTGGAACTTAGTTAATTCCTATTATAATGTGAATATTAAAACATAATAATGCACTGAAATTATTAACAGTAGGTTTTATAAAAGTGTTTAAATATAACAACAATTATTAAACTCAAGTACAGCTAGTCTTCGAAAAAAATAAAAACAATTTTTCCCATATCATTTTGGCATTTAACATACTACCGCATCATCTCTAGATTCACCACAACCCTGATTGGAATTTTACCAAAACCGCTACCTATACTGAGTTGCACCGCACTGTTAACCAGTGGTGGATTTTCAATATTTTTCTGTGGAGTGGAGGGGGCTCCTGAAAAATGATTTGTATTTCAAAATTATTTTATAGTAAAAAAAAATGTTTGACTGTATTTTTTTTTAAATATATACATCCCCCATTGTCGGAAGGGCAAGGTGTCCCCTGGACCCCCCTTAAATCTGCCTCTACTTATATCCCAATAATCCTAATACCTATATGTTATTTTGGTTGTTTCGAGGCGATTTAACATTTTTTTTTGTTTGTTTTCCTCTGGTCATGAATCGTTTAGATACGCGGACGACTTTAGGCGACTAATAACCGAAATAACGGAAGCTGCGGAGACTAGCCGCGGGATCCGTGCTCGACTGGTTGACGAATTCCACGGTGAACTGCGGCAGTTGATCGACGACGGCGTGAATGAAAGCAGAAAGTTAGCAAATAAGTGAACTGAAATAAATAAAAAACTAAGCATAAATAATAATATGCAACGTTGAGTTGGTTAACGTAATTTAACGTTATTTTATTAGTTTAATAAATAGGCAATTTCTTAACAACTATTAAATTTAATGGTAAAAACAATTTCTGTGTCTGTACTTTGGGGTTTTTATCGATTTTTAAATTTTCATGTAAAGCATGAGGTATGACTGTCTATAAAATATTACAATTTAAAAATGCTCATATATCGCAGAAAAATGAAGTTTGGTAAAATACCAACATATATAAACATAATACCGGCAATTGTAAGCTACGCCCGAAGTACAGGTAAACACTAAATCACAAGTGTAAACTGCGCCCGAGATTTTATCAAGTGTAAGAAGGTGATATGTAAACTGCACTATAGCTGATAAATTTTAAAAATGAACAGCTATATTTTTGCAAATGTAAACAAAATTACACATCAAAAATTAAAATTTCTAATTTAAACTTAGTTCATTATTGCAGCCTCATAATATAAACAATTTATAAAATAAAATATATAGTTTTAAAAAGTACAATATTAGGACAAATAATGTCATATTGCTGTTATATAAGTACTCATCAATTGGAGTTGGACCACTATTATATTTATTAATTAAATGTTGTAATTTTTCGCGTTTTTTATTGGTTGTAGAATTTTTGTACTTAAGGGTTCATTTATACTATTCAGTTTCATATACGTTTCTATTTTAATCTCTTTTAATTGTCCTATGAACATAAAAATAGATGGATGAGTTGTATAAAAGGTAGAATTAAAGTGAAAATGAAATAACTCGCAACATTAGTGCTTAAAGTTTGCCCTGCTGATGCTTGAGGGCATATTTCAGGTGAATACTGAGCTTCTTCTCTTATATAAACATATACCTACACCTACCAGATGATCGGAAAATAGTGTAATTTTTCTATGCCGGATGTATTGATAACCACCAGTTGTTGAACACCACAATAGTTATTCGATAAAGTATTGGTGTTTTTATAAATACTGTGGTTTTGGACAACAATACAATTTGATTGAAAAAGTACACAAAACACAATCATAGATTCCACTTTAATAAGTTAAAAGTGTTGAATAATTTACAAATGGGGCTCAGGTTGCATTAAACATTTACCTTTTTAACATGGATAAAAATTTGGGCGCAGCTTACAAAAAAAGGTCATTTGGGCGTAGTATACGTATGCCCTATAATATTCTTAACTTTAAGTTTGATAATAGATCAATTCACTCTATATGAGTGGGTTAAGCTATAACCACAGTATTGATTATCTCTGTAATCATTATCGTATTACTCTTAATACATAAAATTGTTTAATTTCTGAATGAACTGTCTTTTAATCATCTAACTTAACAATCATTGTTCATGCATCGTTTCTAAGACTATACAACTCTCATTAATTGTTCGTCCATTGCTGTCCCATACCTTATATGTGGCTCTGGTAATATATGTACTTGGGTAGTAGATGTACATGGGTATAATATGGCTATATCTAAGTACACGCAAGGAGTTAATTTTTAAAAAAACGGAATATTTAAAATAACTTAATAAAAACATCTTTTTTTTTTTTCTTTATTTGTAATACACAATCTGTACACAATCGGCACAATAAGAGTATGAGCTGAGATAATAAAAAACATGAAATTATGAGCTAAGAAGCCACCCACCGATGACACTTATGTAAATTGTACATAAATTTGAAAAAATTACAATAATATAATGTTTTTATATAACATTTAGATAAAAAAACAAAAATGTTTACGAAAAATAAATTTGATAAAAATCTTGGAGCTTAAATCTAGGTTATCTGCAAACTGAATCGGGCGTTACGACGTCAATTTTTCGGTGAACCGAACTGCGATTTGTCAAACTCGTCAAATCTCACATGGGAAGTCTCTGCGTATTATTTGTAATGCCTGTTTTTATTTTATTAAAGGGCCATTGCATTTTGCAATTGTACCAGCTCAAAAATGATTGTCAGACTATACGTCGTAACTCGTAATCTTGTTTCTCAGGTGTGTTTCGGAATTTACGGAGTACAAAAAACGTGTAAAATGTGGTTTGTCGGCAGGTGGCGGTGACCATGTAAGTCCATTGATAAACGCTGACGTCGCTTGCGAACGGTTTGGTGAGAGGACTCGAGCAACATGGCTCACGCTGATGAGCCACGAGGACCAATTGTCTAGGAAAATAACGGTTGACTTTATTATCATTATTATTAGCTCCTCTTTAATTATTAATACCTACCGATTTATTTAGAAAATGATTGATGCATTGCGGGACGTACTCGAAAAACAGATAGTCGAATTCAAACAGTTGGTCAATAGCCGATTTTGTATGTTGCAGAGACAACAAAACAAATTCCTACAGTTCATTTTAGAGTATGCAGTGTCTTCGGTTCAAAGCGATGACGTACGTATAATTATTTTGTTATTGACGGACCACGGAAAGAATAAAACTCCATTTACACTTTACAAAACAATTTAAATATGTAGCATGTGAATAATAAATTAAAAACAATAGCTATTAAATTAGTAAAAATGGTGATAAACTTCACTTGCCATAATAATAAAAAAAAATATATAGATATGTCGTACATAATTGTATAACAGTAATTAACTTCCTAATAACTAATATTAGCTTCCATAGCATCTATTCCTATTTTCATCAGTACCTACCTATATTAGCAATTAACAGACGATTCTCATATAAAAAAGTATCAGAAATATTATTAATTATTATAAAACAGTATTTTTTTTTGGTAGAATATAATTCAGTTATAATTTAAAAATATAATCGTTCTAATAAATAAGGGCAATCTATTGAGTTATTTAATAATTTTAGTAAAATCACATGTACATGACAGTAATGAAAAAATTAAATCTAACGACGTAAACATGTTTAACTTATACGATTTGCGAAAAGATATTAATAAGTGGTTTTAGAGTAAAAATATTAAAACAAAATATGAAATGTATAAACAATTCGGAGTTTATCTCGTCAGTCATAACTCATAAGAGTTTTTTTTATGTATACCTATGGTTAATACCTATAGGTATAAAAGAACTTATCCTGGCTGGCTGCCGAGTGCTGAATCCATCATTGCCTATAACAGGGACCAAAGCTATGAGTGTGCAATTTAGTCAGTGGTTTCGTTTAATAATGTTAGAGATCCACTAAGAAAGACTTTTCCAAAATTTTTAAGGCACATTTACGTGGCCTCAATTAAACAATAAGCTATAAATCGTAAATGCTCAAAACCAAATGTATGTTTGTAGCTTATATCCTCAAAAACAACTTATTAGATTTCGACGAAAATATCAGGCATTGTTTTTAGAGATATCAAAAAAGTTTAGAGAGTTCTTAGTTTAAAAAATATACCAAGACAACGAAAAGTTAAATCTAATTCGTAACTTGAGGTTGCACATCTAGATTGAATTATTATTAGGTCCACTGACGCCGATTTGACAGTGTATTGATGTACACTATTACTAAGATACACTTAAACCAAGATACATAGGTATGTACCTATATCGCGTTGTATTTTATATTTGTAATATATTTATTATATTGTTTTAGTGAAGTCAGATTTTACTGCTTTATTTACTGCAAGGTATAAAATATTTTCATCAATAGTTATAAATTCAGTTAGATCCACGCGAAAAGCCGGGTGCTCGTTATAAATATTATAAAAGCACAAAAATATTTTTACATTTTTTTTTAATACCAACTTTTATACTTTTTTCAATCTAAATTAAGAATGCCGATAAATTTGTCTCTTAAATATTGCTCTCTTCTTTTCTGTGCATTTCATAGAACCTAAATGTTTGTAATCTTAAGCCACTTTTTAATGCTGTTTTGTTTGTTTTAGTTGAACATGTATAGTAATATAGTATATATAGACATATAGTATAGCCGTACTTACAATTAGGTAGGTAACTAAATATGACAGTCCACCAGATATACAAACCACGAATTGGGTGTTTGTCCTCAATCCCGTGTTTAAAATGATATGAATGTAAATATTTACAATAAGTCAATCAACCATGGGAACATCGACAATATTACTTAATTACGTATTACAATTGAGTATATAATAATGTACAGTATATATATCATACGTAAGTATTTATGTAACTATGTTTTATACGTAGCATGTAGGTATAAATGTACAATGTATATGTACAATGTATAACATTTTTCAATTCGTAGGTAATTAATTAATTAAATGATTTCCTACTTACCCTAAGAAATATAATATTTAATACTATAACGATTATGAATACCAATTCATATAGATTTATTAACTATACCTATAATGTAATACAACTATTATTCGAATGTCCTTCTCTGGACCTTGCCAGACATTTCTGGTCATAATTTTTTTTCTGATTATTTCAGATGAATAATAGAATAAGCAGAGTGTCACGATTTACAAACGATATTTCACAATGTATGGAATCGCAAGCCTCGCAGGTAGAACGCGCTGAATTATACATAACGAAAAGTGCTTCCAAATGGTTAGATGACGTGTTTGACAAATTTAACAGGTAATATGTCAAAACTAAAAAACTAAAAACTGCAGTTCATGATGATAAAAAAGACACAAAACATTGAATAATAACTGATACAACTTAAACAATTGAGCAACAGTGTTCGAACATGTATAGCATAATTGTATAGAATTGTATTCGATGCAGTTGATTATTAATAACGATTATACAAACAGCTGGTACCTACTCCATAAGCTACAAACCTAGGTACCTATGTATTTTATTATTTAAATGGTTTAATTCGTTTACATTTTATTTTTTATCCGTATATAAAATATAATTAATAACTAAAATACATAAAAAGTATAAATTATTAACGACTTCCTAATAAGACTCTTATTAAAAAATTAACCTAATATTTTACCAAGTTAACTATATATGCATATAATTCAAATGTTTTATTAATTGTATTGAGTAGGTACCTACTACCTATATTATTAATTATTATGTATTGTTAAAATTTTAAATAATTTTGCAGCGAAGAATTCCAAAGAAATCGTCGGAAAATATTAGAAATCGCAACATTCATCCGTTCTCAAAACAAAACATTGAAACAAACACAATCTTAGCAGTTATAACAGTTTTATGATGTCAACAGTTTGTTTATTACTAAATATCTATATTATAACGCGAACAGGGCGCAACTAGGATTTTTTAAAGGGGGGTGACAGTAGTGTATAGTGTAGTTTCAGATGAATTCTATTTTTAATATTTTTTTTTCTCATTCAAACTTACTACCATAATTATTTCTGAATAATAATATGACTACTTACGTCCGGCATTCGAGAGACTGAAAAACTTATTGGTACTCTATATATTTAGATACAAATCACATATAATTGAGGTATTATCAAATTTAATCTTAAGGCATTTTACAAAATTATACATAGCAAAAGTTTACATATAATTTCCATTTGTTCGGCCAACTTATTGAAACTTTAATTTATTTTTTGGAACTCAGTCGTTGAGAATACAAATGTTCTTTTTAATTTTTTTCTTTATTTGAAAGCTTTTGTTGACTTTGAGCAACATATAACTGAATAACAAATCAACAAACCTGACTATATCGGTGTACATGTCCATATAATTGCTATAATAACTATAATTTTGCATTATTTTTATTTTTTTTAAGTACGACAAATGGATCTGAAAGTTTATATCGAACATACAACGCTCAATTTCATAGCTCCTATCCTTCTGTCCATGTAGCTTTAAATATTTCAAAAGAAACGCAAGAAGAAGCATGTATGAAAATTCAATCAGTATTTAAAGGTCAGATTAAAAAAATGGAAAATGCTGATTCAATTCGTATAAAATAATCCATGAAAGAATATAACAAGTATAGAATTCATAAAAATATTATAACATATTTGGTCAAAAATTTGTTATTTAAGTAGTACTAAGGTATAACCGTATAACATTCTTTATTATATTATTTCAACCTTTTATTATTTTTAATTATTTTAGTTTGTTTACTATATTAGGTATATCATATTTGTCAAAAATTGAGTTTATAAGCACTACCATAACTTAAGTCATTTTTTAAAAATTTAAATTTTACTAATCACAAATAAAAACATAAATTTGGCAACGTTCCACAGCAAATCATACACAATCGTTTGACTTTTGGCGTAAATATTAAAGTTAATGGTTTAACGTATATCGCTAATCGTTAATCGTGTTCTCAAAAAAGTACATTGTACGCAATCGTGTGGTACCCAAATTCCTTTCAAAATTTCAAAAATTACAAATTTATTTCAATGAGTCATTAAATTCAATTTCCAACATCCTCTCTCCCCTTTGTAGTGGTTCTGGTTGTAATAATATTTTTATTTTAACCATAATAAATTTCCGAATTTGTTGCCTTCTCAGTATAGGTACTATGGACAAAAGACAATATGACATTTTTGTAACACATTATTATTTCTTAAATTATGGTTCAATGGGCTAGACACCCAAAACACCCCCTTAATTGAGCCACTGAAATTCAAAGATGAAAGTCCAAAGTATTATCCATAATCACTAGTTGTGAATGTTGTAATAAATTCTCTGAGCCAATTAGTGTACCCATGTACGAAACTATGAAATTGGAAATACTTCTGATTTTTTAATACTTTAAACATTAACCAGTGATGGTCAAAATACACAATTACATAAAACCACCGGTTGTTGTTTACGCAACACTATTGTTAATTTTGACCCTTTTTTGTTCGATTTTTTGGTCATACACCTCTTGCGCATAAATATTATTTAACAATAGAACTGAAAAAAGGTGAACACCCAAACGCTCAAATTCTTTTTTAACTTTAATCTTAAAATATAAACTGTTGTTGATGTTTAAAATTGAATATGTTTAGACCATTAGGAACATTAACAATTTACATTTTTTTAAAATAATGTATTATACCTACAATGGCATAAGAAATTTACATTGCTGTTGCCTAAAAACCAGTAATTATATGTTATATAATAGAATATATGAAATTATTTATAATAAGTAACATTAAATATGAATGTAATATTGTAGATTCAGATCAAGTAAAAGCAACATTTTTTGATAGTATGATTTTGGATTTTATTAACATTCAAATAAATGAATGGTTATAATATGATATAATTTATAATATTATAAACTTATGAAAATATAGTGAAGCAAATAAAGAAAAAAATGGCTTACAAGTTGGTTAAAAATTCTATTCTGAAGAAGAAAAAATATGAAATTGAACTAGTAAATTAGAAGATCTAAGCAGCATCATTGAGAATACTATCATCCAATGATTTGTATATGGTCATGTCAATATCCATTCTGAAATAAAATAAAAATATATATTTATTAAATTGTACGGGTTAGGCTTTTAAGTATAATAACACAAAATTACATTATTTCTATCAATAAAAATAAAAATTAGTAAGTTTTCACTGCATAACATAGCACTTTTAATTAATAAATAGATTAAATTAATTGAAAACCATATTAAAAATATAAAAATTGTTCTTATGGGACTGTAATTAATAATAGATTAAACTTAAATAAACTTAACAATAACACAAATAACAACCAGAAAACTCAACAATTATTATAATGAAACATGACGAATATTAGGCATGCAATTATTATATAAAAGTCACCAAAAAGAAAAAAATGTACATAAATACATGATTTATTAAATTGTAATAACATAATTAATAAATTCTTAAATATACAAAAAGTTAAGATTGAGAATGGATTGAACTTACTTTTTAAATTCATTAGCCACATCATCTAATTTAGATGGTGGGCAGACCATTGCTGTTCTTATACATTTTGGATTAAATAATGACATCACATACTTATTCCCAATTTGTGGCAGTTCCTCTAGTGTTACTTCAGATATCTTCTTAATAAGATTTCTAAACAATTGTTAATATTATCAATACATATAATTTAACAATATCATACAAATATGTTTATTACCGATTATAATCGGGTGACAAATTTCTAAAATGAAACAATACAGATTGTGTTACTAAGTCACCTATTGACTTTTCTCTTTCAGCAATTTCAAAAATAACAGAACATTTTGCAGATTCAAATAGTGTTGTATCCCAAACTGCACCATCAATTAAATGAGTCTCCTATAATGGAAAAAATAACTTATTATTGCAACACAATACGTCAAATTTAACTTTAATTATAACAATGTTAATATATCAATACAATTTGTTGCTTAACATATCTTCTTTAATTATGATTCATTATATTTAAGAAAACAAACCATTACTGAGCAATGGACAGATACCATGTAGACATATTATTATTGATAAAGGTAGAGAGTGGATGTACATAAAGATTCTAACTTGATTTTTTTTTTTAAATAGTCGAATAAACATACCATAATATTTTTGGTTTCTTTATATGCGGCAGGCACATTTACTGAACGATAAAAATGGAGCAATAGTAAACCTTCATTGGGTCTTGGAGTAATGCTGTATGAATATGCATGACCTAGTCCACGAATATTTTTCCACATTGGTCCCTATAAAATGAAAAATACTTAATGTAATAACAGTAAATAAAAAAAAAATGTTAATTTTAAATTTGAATAAAATTATACTATATAACATACTTCTAATTGTGTAAAATATTGTAAAAAGACTAATAAACCAGCCATATCTGGATGATTAAAGTCATTGATACAATCTGTTACTTGTATGAAATAACTGGACTCAATAGCACCCATACCAACAGCACAAGCTCGTATAGCACATTCATCATTGGGTAAAATATATTCATAGTCAAAAACAGTTTCAAATCTGAAATACATATAAATACCATTCTAATAACAATTTCAAAGTATACAATAATGCTTACTTGCTAAAATACTCACAATTTTTCTGAATGTTTAATGTTGGATGGAATTAGCTGTTCCAAAAGTGAAGATGCGTTTGGTTGAATTTCACATAATACATCTAAATCAGCAGATAAATGCATTTTTATACAGTCTGGATTGGCTAAAATCATTTTTACATTATTCAAATCATCATTAATAGATGACCACCCTTCATCAGATTCTATTTTATTTTGTAAATTTGATAAGAATTTATGTTGTCTCAGTGTACTGCACGCATAGTGATTGCTATCTATATAAATTGAACAAATAATTACATAACAAAATTGTTTAAAACAATGTGTATCATAAGATACTATTACAAGATAATAGAAAACAAAAAATGAAATATTTATATCGACTTACTATTTTTATAGATTATATTACGTAATATATCCCTTAACATATGATTACCGTCTCTTCGATAACTTGAAACTTCATTTATTATTTTTGTTAAATTAATAGAAAATTTTTCTTTTGTTATTTCTGTATTGAACAAAAAATTATGCAGCCATTTGATGCCCATGTGGTATTTCTTTGGTTCTAACTAAAAAAGTAAAATTTATAATAATAAAAAACTTATTATTTAACTGGAGAAGTGTTACACACATTATTTTATTAATAACTATTGAAAATTATTTTAAATAAACCTAATATAATTACCTGAAAGAATAATGAAATAACAGAAGAAAAAGTTCCACACAAGAAGTGAGATGATGATGATGTTCCTATTTCTGAATTCCAGCACATTATATCTTTTTCTAACTGAGCAATAATATCAGTATAATGAATTTTAATACCATCACAGTTGACTGTACTTTTCATTAACAAATCAACCATAATCGGTAAATACATTTTAAGATTCATAGGTACATCTTTGGTATCAATAAAAGTGTAAATCTACAAAACAAAAAATAAACAGTCACAAATTAATTTTAGCTTTACTAAAAATATACTTACATAGACAAAGTTGCTTTTTATATTGTCTACTTCCATGTATATGGGTGCATTAGTTATTTTAAATAAATCATGTTGATCAATAGAATTTGTCGTGAATGTTTTATATGAATAGAACTGTATGCATTCAATATTAGGAATATTAAGCGATGTTAAAAGTTCTTTGGGTGGTTTAGTCTGAAACACGAGCATATTTTATAAACAATTATTTTACAATCAAAATAATTATTTGTTTGGTTAAATATTTTAAAATTCTTACCTCACATTCAACTTTGGCATTTAATAATTCAACTGCCTTTTTTTTCAAACCATCTTCCCCTAGTGTTGTATGTCGTTCTTGTACTCTTTCTTTTTCTTCATTAGCTAACTCCTCTTGCTTTTTTATAGAAGGTATTCCCCTAACAATTACTCTATTACTATTGACAAAATACTTTTCCAATATTCCTTTCCAAAATGTTATTCCTTCATTATTTAGTTGTTTTAGTATGTTCATTTTATTCAATTTCTGCTCCAACTGAAAATATTAGTAATAATTATTTATATGAAATTATAGTGTTTAATTTTTTAAGAATTTACATTAAATATAAATAATATTACTCACATCAACAGAAGTTTTTCCATACAAAAAATCTTCTATAATTGTTGAAGACAATTTTTCATGTGGATAATTATCTAAGTAACTCAATATTTGAAGTTTGTTTCTCTCAACAAATGTTTTTAATCTTTCCAAGTCAAGATAACTAACATCGACCAAAAGTTTATAAAATACTTCATCCAATTTTGAGGGTATAATGTCAGCACCCATTTTTTCAATGGGAACATTTTCAAAATTAATGGTTATAGAAGGTTCATTATGAGAAGTCATATCAAATGACACCTGTTAAAATATATATACAATAATAAAAATTTATAAACAATAATTTAATAGATTATATTATTTATAACACCAACTCAAAAATAAATAATATTTAGTTTTTGGTTGTAATAAAATAGCTATGTGTATTGGTTGATTACATTTAAATTGTTCAATAATAACCAAATTAAATGTAATTTAATTTATTTTTACAATTTTGATAAAAACTTATTTTATTTGTAACTATAGCATATTTTACAATATTTTTAGTATTATTTGACAGAATTTTATTTGGAGATTTCACAGATAATCTCAATATTTAAAGATAATTTATAAGCAATATCAGCTATTAAGTTAATTTAAGATTTGAACAAAATATTTCAAAGTATTCTATATGCAGTTTTATATTCTTACATCAGTACAAAATGGATCTGCAATTTCAACCATTTCTTTAGGTAAAGGACTGATCTGAGTATCCGTCAAGTATTTCAACAATAATTGACATGCAATATAACTAAAATAGAAAAATAACATTAATATAATATGTTATAATAATTCATTAAATAACATATTTACTTACTCTTTTAAACAATTTGGACCTCTAAAGCCTACACTTATTATTCCATTAGTTTCCTCATCAGAAGGAAAAAGGACCGAATTATTTGAAGATATAGTTAATGGATCCACGGGGTTTTGCCAAGGTCTGACATAATCTCCTCGATTACCCTGCAATAATAATAAATTATATATTAAATATACACAATAATAATAGTTAAGTAAGTATTATTCAAATCAAAAAAAAAAAAAAACTAACAATATTACCTTTGATAAAATCTTTTGAATGAATGGTTCTAAAACGTCAAACACAGAAGAATGATCTATCTTTCCACTTATAAGAAGTAATAAATTTTCAGGACGATAAAATGCATGATGATATTTACGAATCTATAACACATAATGTAAATAAATTATTCAATAACTAAGAAAATTCTTTTTTATAACTAGAATTTTTACAGAGTAATTCATCGAGCCAATGTTTTCTTCAATAATGCAGTTCTTTCAATTCTGATTTTTTTAATTTTTAAATATACTTTAAGGCTGTATTTTAAAATTTTTGAGATTTTTTGTTCTACTCAAGGAGTGTCCTGTGGAGATACTAACATCTGTTTTTTAAATGAGAACACCCCAATTCAACTATAAATTGTACAGTAGATAATTTTTCTGCATTTTTTTACATATCAAAATCAAATTTTATAGTAGTTTTTGAGTTATTTAACTTTGAGTTCTAGGGATAAAAGATCCATAGGAATTAATTTATAAAATATGAAGGTGAGGGTAATTTGAAAATTGCAGCCATTAAATATTAATATTAATCTATCGATATTA